GTGCTAGTGTAAAACTAAAACTAACACAAGACCTAGAACTAGAATCATTTGGGTTTAGCCTCACGTCTCTCAAGACGGCTAAACCCGAATGATTCTAGTGCTAGGCCTTGTGTTAGTTCTAGTTTTAGTTCAATAAAAATATACAACATAGTAATATCATATGCTAACTAGTGCTACCTATCACTGCTACTAGAGCTAACACAAGACGTAGAACTAGAATCATTCGGGTTTAGCCTCACGTCTCTCAAGACGGCTAAACCCGAATGATTCTAGTTCTAGGTCTTGTGTTAGTTCTAACGCTAGTATTAGTGTAAAACTAGAACTAACCCTAGACCGAGAATTAGAAACATTCTAAAGAATGTGGCTAAACCCGATACTTTGAAAATGTTATATAACATAAATTATTAATGTTTTTGAACTTTGAGTGTATGTGATTAAAAGTTAGAATATTAACACGGTAATAATTTAAAGAGAAATAGAAATATATTTAGTGATCCTATCGGCAATATCTATGAGATAAATGGCGTTTTCTGTATATTTGCGTGATAAATCAAGTTTAACGTGTTTCCAATCTCGTTGGATCTCTCTCTAAGGATAGCGTAACTGGGACAGGAGAGTAGATATGTAGGGGAAAGACGCAGAGCGGTCAGTATTTTTCTATTATTTATACGCCTTTGTACGAGAGAAGATTTATACATTAACACGATCACTTATTTATAACCGCATTATACGGCAGTTTCGCTTTGGGGCATTATATACGGCCGGACGCATTAATATATGATATCGCGCGGGGCCGAACCTATGAATTACGGGGCGTCAAGTGCCCAGAGTTTACCTGTCACCATCGTAGGAAGTGAATAGTCTGCGTATCGTTGCCTAAAATCGTGGTGAAAAAAAAAACCTGCTCGTCAAACACCTGGGTGAAGTTTTTCGTGTCCCCCGACCCGACTTATTATCCAGGACCTCTCAATCCACTGTGCAAACAAGTGACTACGCATAAATGGGGCTTTGCCACAATCCCCGTCCTTATGTGGCATACACTCCAAGTCAAAAGTTCAAAAGTACACCTTTCTATACAGATTATGTAAGGTATTTTCAAAAAAAAGAGGGCGATTACATATATTTAACTTTCTTGTGTCAGAAAAAAAAATAGCCATCACTGACAGTTTCAGTAATTGACGTTTGACATATTGATATTGGGTTTCGACGACATCAGGGTTTGGAGTAGAACGTGCTCTGGTTTGAGGGCTCTCTCGTACCATACACGTGCGACTGTTGACACGTAGTCTACAAATAAACAAAGCCGTCGTTCCGCAGATGTTATCTTTCGTCGGGTTACGGACCTGTTAGTTTCGGGTTCATTAAAGCAATTAATTAGACAGTCGTCGATACGGCCGGCGGGCGTCGCGGCGACTACGCTAGTGTATGTCAGTGACGTTAGCTGACGTCGCGACGCCGCCGGGAACGAACCAAACTAAGCGTTTGGGTTGTATTCGAATCGGGGTCGCATAAATCTCCACGAGCATCTTACGTTTCCTGTCCCTAAATCAAAACATCTCTTCCCCTTAGGTCTCACCCCTGGATTCTACTCCAACGATTTCGTACAATTCAAACTCAACCTAAGTTCAGAAACTATGAGGAGATGTATTAAGTTGTGTTCCATACGTTTTGACAAGCTGGTTTAGATTTATTACAACTTGTTGTGGTTAATTCCAAAATTTTTTTAATATGTCAAGAAATTTGAATTAAAATAACAAAGACCTCTGTAAGAAGGTGAAATGGACCGAGAAGTCGTCTCCGAGTCTTGAGTTATGGTATCCATAATTTTAAACCGCCCCTCAGGCATCGAGTGCATACGTGAAACAAATAACCACTTGCTTCCGCCCGCTATTCACAACGGGAGATCGATGTCGTCCTTTTGCCTTTCGCCGTTTCTCAACGCAAAGAACTGCTCCTTGAAGAAAATCCCCCTCGGCGAAAATTGAGACAATTAGTACGGAAAAACGGATCCATATCGTAGATTACGCTTCGGGGTTGTCTTAAAGACACACCGCCGGTTGCTTTGAGACATTAACAGGGATGGAGGAATTGAACGCCCCCAGGATAAGAGGGGTCTGCAAAACCGTTGCGCGTTTGATTCGCGAATACATTAATAAGACAATCGTCAGTCCCTTCCATTACCTTGATGACAAAGACCTTTAAATCCTGACTGAAGCCGAAATCTAATTGTTAACGCTTTAGGGGTTAGTTAATATTTACACAACCATAAAGCAACCGTTAACTTGAAACGTTAAGTGGAATGTTATATCCATGAATTATTAAAAAATGGAATTATAAAAAATAAAATAAAATCGAATTATTTTATACAAACCACCCTATTTGGATATGAAAATGTGAAACGAAGCGGGACGACAATGTCCAGTGGACTAATAATAATTTTTGAATGTATATTTTCACTTTAGGGATTGCATCCCCAAAGCGAAAAGGGACGATGGACAGAAACTGCGAAGGGGGACATCGCAAAAATAATTTTATCGAGTTACGTCCGAGGTCGTCTGCGTGAAAATTGGAGTGGAGGCGATTATAAATGATGCGCGAATTTGATTTATAACGGAATTAAAGGTGCCCCCTCTCTCTGTCTCCCGGCGGAGGGTTCCGCGAAAAACGCGGCCGGCGAGCATAAATCACCGGCTATGAATGTCAAAAGAGTAAATGACGCTTCAACAATCGTGGACATCGTCCGACATTTCATGGTCCGAGCTTTGGACGGAATAATGGCTTTAATTATCCGGTTTTGTACTTTGCCTATCCCTCTGAAGTCTGCACGCGTCGGTACGCGTACTTCTCTGACCATATGTCGACGCTTTCAGGTTTCAAAGTACCCACTCAAAAAGTCAAACGATCCCAATTAGCGGCCATCGCAGTAAACTAAACCTAAATACCTCTATCTTTTCATATTCAAGCAAAAAAATTTGAAATCATCTCTAAATCTCTATCATTTATTTCACCATCATGTATACCATAGAATTGCATGGAGCAGATGAGGAGGTAAATTACTGCATGAAAAATTTTTTTGACATATCTGAAAAATCGAAATTTTTAAATTTTTTTCTGAAATGTTACTCAATAAAATAATACTTTCTATATGAAGACAATTTTCATATAATTTTTTCGATAACTTTAAAAATTTCCTAAAAATCGAATTATTGGCATAAATATATATTTTTTCCCACAATTTAAAAAATTTCTGGAAAATCGTATCTTTGATAAAATGATTTGAAATTATCACCAGTTATCAATAAAATAATGTTCCAATTTACCGTTTTGAAAAATCGCTTTTAGTTTCTGAGTTACATACTTTTCAATAAAAACATATAATAATATAATTTTTTCGAAATTTCCTAAAAATCGAATCCTTGAAAAATTTTTACGAAATGTGCACCAATTATAAATCAAGATATGTTCTTTTCACGACAAGTTACCGTTTTAAAAAATCATTTTTAGTACTTAAGACAAAAATTTTTATAGATGAGAATAAATTATATATTTTTTCCCATAACTTAAAAAATTTCTGGAAAATCGTATCTTTGATAAAATGATTTGAAATTATCACGTTATCAATAAAATTATGTTCTTTTCAACGCAATTTACCGTTTTGAAAAATTGCTTTTAGTTTCTGAGTCACATACTTTTCAATAAAAACACAATTTTTATATAATTTTTTCGAAATTTCCTAAAAATCGAATCCTTGAAAAATTTTTACGAAGTGTGCATCAATCATAAATGAAGATATGTTCTTTTCACGACGAGTTACCGTTTTAAAAAATCATTTTTAGTTCTTAAGATAAAAATTTTTATAGATGAGCATAAATATATATTTTTTCCCACAACTTCAAACATTTCTGCAAAATCGTATCTTTGATAAAATGACCTGAAATTATCACTAGTTATCAATAAAATAATGTTCTTTTCAACGCAATTTACCGTTTTGAAAAATTGCTTTTAGTTTCTGAATTACATACTTTTCAATAAAATCAATTTTTATAAAATTTTTTCGAAATTTCCTAAAAATCGAATCCTTGAAAAATTTTTACGAAATGTGCATCAATCATAAATCAAGATATGTTCTTTTCACGACGAGTTACCGTTTTAAAAAATCATTTTTAGTACTTAAGACAAAAATTTTTATAGATGAGCATAAATATATATTTTTTCCCATAACTTAAAAAATTTCTGGAAAATCGTATCTTTGATACAATTATTTGAAAGTATCACCAGTTATCAATAAAATAATGTTCTTTTCAACGTAATTTACCGTTTTGAAAAATTGCTTTTAGTTTCTGAGTTACATACTTTTCAATAAAAACACAATTTTTATATAATTTTTTCGAAATTTCCTATAAATCGAATCCATGAAAAATTTTTACGAAATGTGCATCAATCATAAATCAAGATATGTTCTTTTCACGACAAGTTACCGTTTTAAAAAATCATTTTTAGTACTTAAGACAAAAATTTTTATAGATGAGCATAAATATATATTTTTTCCCACAACTTAAAAAATTTCTAAAAATCGAATCTCTGATAGAATGACCTGAAATTATGACCAGTTATCAACAAAATTATGTTCTTTTCAACTCAATTTACCGTTTTGAAAAATCGCTTTTAGTTTCTGAGTTACATACTTTTCAATAAAAACACAATTTTTATATAACTTTTTCGATAACTTTAAAAATTTCCTAAAAATCGAATTATTGGGAAATTTTTAAAGTTCTTCAGTAAAATTAGTTAGTTATCAATAAAATTTAAGTAATAAATAAAGTTAATATCGTTTTTTGTATTAGATATATAGTTCGTCTTGCAAAGAATTTACCCCCAATTTATGCGCCTGTGCATCGCGACCCTGTTAAGTACATAAATGCATATGCGAGCATGCGCCCGCACTCTGCCTACACTCTATTCGAATTGATTGATTGTAGTGTGATTGACGTATCGATCCGTATCGATTTAAAATGGTTTTAATTTTATTATGAATAATGTGCGTGTAACAGTGATACGATATCGGGGCTTAAGAAAGCATTAAATGTAAGACTATATTTTATTTCCTATATTACTTATTAAGTTATTTTATTTTGATAAATTAATTACGAGATTCCTGAAGATGGATTAATACTCGAAATCGGTCTAATTGATGAATAAATTTATATTGTATATTATTTAATTAAATGTGACGAATAATTTTTATCGACAATGTAATCATTTCCAAGTACTAGCATTCCAAATGGATTAAGAAAGCAAAATTTGAACATAGTAAGTAGATAAGAGCTAATTACGTGTTTCAATCTAAAACTTTTGTATAATTTATCATTCCAACGTTTCAAATCGGTTAAACAATTGTGAATAATTTTTATTAAAAAATTTTTGACATGTGTAAAATGAAATTAATGCCCAGTAATAGGTGCGTGCCGTGAAAACATTTATCTCGAAATAAAATTTATCCATTCCGGGCTGCGCCCCGAATCAATAATAATCGTAATTTTCGAATGTGGAGTTTCGGTATCTGTAATCGTTTTAATATCCGTATAAAATAATTTTGATTCAACATTTGAATGCAAATGTGTAATCGTCAGGATTCCCTTATCTGAGAGATAGAATGGTGTTTTTTTTATGGAAGGGGGTGATTACACGGGAAAAGGGGTAAAGTTTTACGGGGAATTTAACGGTAATTGATACGACACCGGTCAGAAATTCGAGGGCACGACAATTAGGGCGAAATTTAAAAAAAGGAACCCCCGAGGCCGGACACAATCATCATTACAGAGACAGTTTACCGAATATTTCTAATTGCCACCCCACGGCGTCACTTAATGTTTTTAATCTCATACGTTCATCCCAGAAAATTTCAAGTAATAAAACAAAAATAAAAAAGCCCCCCCCTTGAGAGAGAAACGTTTAATTACGATCCCTTTTGAGATTGAAATTTTGAAGATTGAAAAATTGAACCCGGATTTTCAGATTTGAACGCAATTTTATTATGGCAAACTCAATTTGCTCACAAACGAGATAAAAGAAGACACCTGCCCTTAAGACTCTAACCCTCCACACCGTGCACAAAATTGATTCCACCCCAAACCAGGTTTAGTCATTAACAGCGCAATTAACGTTGTCGCAAATTTGGGACACCTGGGACGCGAAAATGAAATGATTCGAATTATTAATTCAACTTAGTTAAAATATTCGAAATATTGAGTTGTTAGATTATTTTTAACTTCGTTCGTTTCATTATTTCATTGAGCAATAAAAAAAACTGTTTCCTTTCTTAATCGAAAACAATGAAAGAATTCACTACCATTGAATAAATCGAAATTGTTTGCTCTAATTATGCTAATAATTTCCTTATTTTTGTTTTTCTTAAATACTAAAGTGTTAATCATAATGGCAAGAAAATTGAGATTACGAAATAGCAATTATTCAACCACCAATCACGTTGATAGTGAAAATTCTTCCAGTAGCGATTCAACGTTGGAAGATAGCACAGATAATTTTTATCCACCACAGCTAGGAGCGTTTTATGCACACCCCTTCGGTATGCAACATACTTTAAATTCACCTCACTTTGATTCAGATGGTAAGAATATTATTTAGTTTATATATATACAGTGTGTTTGATTTTAGTTGTTACAACAGATATCTTGATTAATGTTGGAGGTATGATAAAATGTTCTAGAAGGAAAATTGTTCCACACTTAATATTGTATTAGGTACCATATAAAAGCAAGTGCCTTTTGCAGCACTCTTTTGCACTTTTGCTCTCAGATGCACAAATATAATATTCAATGTGAAGCAACTTTCCTTCTATAACATTTTTTTTGACAACTAAAATCAAACACACTGTATATACCACATTGATACAAATCCAAATAGTGTTCAACAAGGATCTATATATCTATATAGATCAATTAAAGCAATAATCTCTACAGGAACAGAATTTTATTCAAATCAGACTCATCAAGTGGATCAAATGGCATTGGAATTAGAAACAGACGAAGACAAACTTGAAACAAATAACAGTTTGTATTCAACCAAACAAAACTTAAATTCACATGGTAAGAAATTTGCTAGTTATTTATCGAAAGGTAACGTTATAAATTTTAGAAAATTTTCAAGAAAGATTTGGTGGCTTCAACTATGCAACACCAAGCAGTCAAGCGATCTCTACACATACATTTATAAACCAAGGTTTTAACTCAAGTCTGCAAAATTTCTTGTCGAATCAGCAAGAATCTAACTCCAATCAAAAATTTGACTTCAACCAGCAAAAATTCAGCTTGACTCAAGAAATATCTACCTCGAATCAGCAAGGATCCATTTTGTACCAGCAAAAACTAGAAGATGGGATAGAAATAGAAACAGATGAACACAAACTTGTAATAAAAAACAATTTTTATGAAAATCCCAATGTGATGCAACAGAATTTAAATTCCGTTCACTTTAATATAGGGGGTAAGAAAATGTTATTTATTTTGCAATAACTAAGATTATATTTACATAGAAATAAATGGAGAACTCTTGGAAGTAATGTCCCAGAAAGATGTAGATGACCCAGAAATAGATATCGATAAAATTTTTGAAGAAGAAAATATCACATCGAGTGAAAACCGTTTTCGGAGAAAGTTGATTCTTAAAATGTTAAAAACTCTCAAGGAAATGGATATTAAATCTAATAAAACAATTTCAAAAGAAAACAATTTAATTCCGCAATCATCTTCATCATCAACCGAAGTTGTGGACGCTTCAATTAATGCAAATAATATATCAATGTGCACTTCAACTACAGGTGCAATCCCAAAACAAACGAAATCTGTGGAAAAACGTTGTCATAAAAAATCCAAAAACGAACAAACATCGCACGATGCTTCAGAAACAAATTTAGGTTATTGCACTCCATTGATTGATACGATTAATAAAGCCTTTGAAACGCTTATGATGCTTGAAGCATCTCCAAATCAGCAAGCAGTGGTGGTTCAGAAGAAACCAAAGAGACCTAAAGATTTAAAAAAAAATAAATCAAGCAATAAATCAAATAAAGATGCAGATGGGGAATCGAGCGAAGTGAAGCAATCTGGATGTTTGGGTCCTCTACGTGTAACAGTACCAAAAACCACTTACATCCAATTAAGAAAAAGATTGGACAAAGAACCGCTTTATCAGGTCACTTTTGGACATGTTATGATTAATATTTATTATGATGAGGAACTTGGTAAAATCAAACAATACTACAAACAGTATTTAAACAGAATATTACCAAAAGAAATTGATGGTGAGGTTTAAATCAAAAAAAAAATTTTTGTTTATATAAATATTTTTTATTACAGTTTCTAAGGATGAAATTGAAAAATCTAATAATCCGAGAAGATGAACTAAAAATATCTTTATTATTAAATAATTATATTTTATTATTATTAAATTTATTAATTACTTTTATTTAATATTCTTTTAATACACCCGCCTGTAACAAAAAATTCAAATAACAATTTTTTTCGAACACGAAAATACTTACATTCTCAAGTTTTTCTTTAAGTTTTAAAAATTCCCTTTTAAATTCCTCTCTTTTATTTTCAAAGTCGTGGATTATGCTCGTGAAATACGAGTATGTTGTATCAACTAAAAACATAACATATTTATCAACAATTATAATAACAAATAAAATACTCACTCTCATTTAATGTTGTGTGTATAATCTCGTCTCTTTTAACTTTTTTTGAGACGTGCGAAGAATCTTCTTCGCTCCTTTTCCTAACTCGGCCAGAACGCTTTTCGTCGTCCTTCTCACATTTTTCAGTAAATTTCGATTGTTCGTTTTCCATCTTAACCTCTTTGCTGCTTCCTTTTATTTGAACATTACCACAACTTGATGATGCGGCCCCTTCCATATCGCCATTCCGTATATATTCGCCGTTTTCCTTGAACATATGATTAGAACAAAACAATTGCTTCTTTTATCGGGTTATTAACAGAATTTGATACCAGAATTTGATTCCTACACCCACAAAAAAACTTGCGATAAAATATTTAACATTTCGTTATAAGAAAGAACTTTAGAAAAACTTTAAGAATGTTAAATAAAATTTATTTTAAATGCAATTGATACATATAATATTTAATATTACAAATAGTTGTTGAAAGAATGGAAATGAATTGAATATATCGAACCGAACCCCAAAATAATTTTTTTTTGCCATGTAAAAGTCTATTTCAAGATTTTATGAGTTCCAAAACAATCTCAGTCGCCAATTACCCTAAAGTATTCAATACACCCACAAGAATATTTGTGTCCCCTCTAAATTTTGAATTCGGCCGACGTCGAAAAGCTTTAATATTTTGCGCATTTCCAGTTTGTAACTAAAAAATTGAGATAATTGGGTGAGATCTGGTTGTCGATTATGTTGTTTTGATCCATAACAAGCAATTTATGTACAAAATATTTCTCTCCATCATCTTTAGTTTCTGAGTTATGATGGGCTTTAGTAATGAAAATCGTCAATTTTGATATTTTGCTCATTTCCAGTTTCTAACTAGAAAATGGAGATATTTGAATGAGATCTGGTTATGGATTATGTTGTTTTGGGTCATAATAAACAATTTATGTACAAAACATTTCTCTCCATCATCTTTAGTTTTTGAGTTATGATGGGCATTATTAACTAAAATCGTCAATTTTGATATTTTGGACATTTCCAGTATCTAAGTCAAAAATAGAGATAATTGAGTGAGATCTGGTTATGGATTATGTTGTTTTAGGTCATAATAAACAATTTATGTACAAAACATTTCTCTCCATCATCTTTAGTTTTTGAGTTATGATGGGCATTAGTAACTAAAATCGTCAATTTTGATATTTTGCACATTTCCAGTAACTAAAGTCAAAAATAGAGATAATTGAGTGAGATCTGGTTATGGATTATGTTGTTTTAGGTCATAATAAACAATTTATGTATAAAATATTTCTCTCCATCATAATTAGTTTTTGAATTATGATAGGCTTTAGTAATAAAAATCATCAATTTTGATATTTTGTGCATTTCCAGTATCTAACTAGAAAATGGAGATAATTGAGTGGGATCTGGTTATGGATTATGTTGTTTTAGTCCATAATAAACAATTTATGTACAAAACACTTCTCTCCATCATCTTTAGTTTTTGAGTTATGATGGGCATTAGTAACAAAAATCGTCAATTTTGATATTTTGGGCATTTCCAGTATCTAAGTCAAAAATAGAGATAATTGAGTGAGATCTGGTTATGGATTATGTTGTTTTAGTCCATAATAAACAATTTATGTACAAAATATTTCTCTCCATCATCATTAGTTTTTGAGTTATGATTTGCTTTAGTAATGAAAATCGTCAATTTTGATATTTTGCGCATTTCCAGTTTCTAACTAGAAAATGGAGATAATTGAGTGAGATCTGGTTATGGATTATGTTGTTTTAGGTCATAATAAACAATTTATGTACAAAACATTTCTCTCCATCATCTTTAGTTTTTGAATTACGATGGGCTTTAGTAATGAAAATCGTCAATTTTGATATTTTGCACATTTCCAGTATCTAAGTCAAAAATAGAGACAATTGAGTGAGATCTGGTTATGGATTATGTTTGTTACAAAACATTTCTCTCCATCATCTTTAGTTTTTGAGTTATGTACTTTAATAATAAAAATCATCATTTTTGTCATTTTGAGAGTTTCGACTCGATAACTAATTAATGGTTATGAGTAAGCTGAATCTGTTGATACATTTTGTTTTTTTGCCAATGACAACCCAGAATATATAAACATATTCAAGTCTATTGAAGAATTATTCAAGGAACCAAGCTGATCAATACACTAACGTTTTATTAACAAATAAAGTATCTACATTTTTATGCAAAATCAATCAAAATAAATCGACTTTAAAATTAGAGATTGATTTGAAATGGTTGGTCTCGTAAATATTTCACGAAAGTGAACCCTTTTGCAGGTGCATTTAAACGGCTCAATGGAGACGGGCGAGAGTAATAAAACCGAGGTGTAACATTTCAAAAACAACGTAAAATTTATTAATACATTGGCGCCAGAAACAAGTCGAGATTACGAGAAACGAAATCCATTAAGATTATTTAAGAGGAACCAAAATTTTTATGTTATGTTTTAATTTTACCGCGCAAAAATTCAAGTTCCGGAAAATATTTTTTTTAACTAAAACCTGTTCAATTTTATTCAACGCCACGAACATCACTTCTAAACGTGCGGGCAATCTCTTCTCTCACAAGTTATCTGTGAAATGGAAAATATCTTTTATATTATTTTAGTAAGTACTTCTTTATTTATTTTATTTATTTATTAATAACAAATTAATTAAAATTATAGTACATTCTATCAATTTGTCGACATGGCCATTTCTTCGAAAATGACAGATTTAATTACTTGCAAACAAAAATTAAAGACACCACGAACATTTTAAAACCCTCAATACCACAAAAAGGTTCGGAATTAATAAATTAATTAATTATTTATTAAAATACTTTTTTGCCAAAAACATTTTTTTTAGATGTTGAAATAAAATTAGATTTTTATAACAAAACAACAACCAATTTGATTAATTTTGAAAATTCCCACATTTTTCAATTATCAAATAAAACACATTTTCTTTTGGATTCTCACGTTTACACATGGACTAGTTTCAATGGGTCAGAAATGAATAAAACTTATTCATTACCATATGTAGAAGACGAAATAATACTCATAAAAGCCGTAAGATTAAAAAAATAATTAAAAAAAAATATTAATAATTAAGTTTTAGAGTGAAGAATTTGAAGAAAACCATTTCATTTTAACATCATTTAAAAATGGTGTTTCTCACATTTACTTATTAAGAAACAACCAAAATCCAATTCACATCCAAAGTTTAAAAAACGAAGAAAAATTAAATGATGTTAAGTTCTTTACAAACAAAAACTCATTATTTTTGGTTACTGTTAACACAGGAATTAAAATTTATAAATATCTAGGAAAATATTTTGATGAGATTGAAACAATTGCAACAAAATCATCTAAAATATCAACATTTACACATCAAGATTTTGAAATTCTTGTATTTCTAGATGTCTCAAACAAAGAAGTATTAATTAATTTAATCTTATAATACATTCTCATTATACTTTATTTTAGACTTCAATAACGTTGTATAAATTTAACGGAAATTTAAAAAAACTTCAATTTATATCAACACCAAATTTATTTGATTTCGAAATCTATCAAAATCAACCTATGTTTAACACATATATGATTGTTTTTGCTGGCAAAGAAAATTATATATACATTTGGGATTATTTAAACTTTGAGTTTATTAATCTTTTCGAATTTGGATCTATAAACAATGCGAAAAAAGCAATTATTGTTGAAGAAGAAGTCCCTCTAATATTTTTAATAACAAACCTAGGAATTGAAAGTTTTCAATTTTCCTCAAACAACATCCAACGTTTAGAGTCGTTCAAATTCGAAGAAGATGCTGAGGAAATTTTAAAAGTGGTCGTCGAAAATAATGGAATAGAAATATTCTTAAACAATAAAATGAACGAGTTGAAAATTATAAATGTAAACTATTTCGTTTATATTAATCAAATGGGTAATTTTTTTAATTATTATTATTACTCATTTTATGAGATTAATTAATTAATTTTAAAAAATTAGTGAGCAGCACATACAATGAAGATCCCGTAGAAGATTGTTTATCGAAACTTGAAAATAAACTAGAAGAGGAATTAAATCAATTTTCAAATCGCAAAAAACGATTTCATGCTCCAACTGATGTTGAAATCGAACCTGGGTATGATTTTTTTGATTTAAAGGTAAGAGTTGAGTTAGATCTGGTTATGAATTAGGATGGTTTGGTCCATAATAAACAATTTATGTACAAAACATTTTTCTCCATCACTTTTAATTATTGAGTTATACTCGAATTTAATAACAAAAATCATCATTTTTGGCATTTTGACTCTCCAACTAATAAATTGTTGAGTCTGGTTATAAATTACGTCTTCTTGGTGCATTATGAACAATTTTTATAAAAAAATTAATTTTAACATTTTTAGTCAACAAAATTAAATAAAACAGCGAATGAGGTTCAAGACTTAATTAATGAAGTGACTTTGAAAATAATTGGATTTAAAAATGAAATGGTAAGAATTTATTAATATATAAATAATTTTTTATTAATAGATGTAACTTGTAGATCAATAAAACTTTAGTGATTGATAACGATTTGGAGTCAAGCTCGTTAAAAACTAAAGATATTAATCTGAAAATAATTAATAACATTAAATGGACGCCTGATAATTGGTTATCTTATTCAAAACAACAAATCATAACAGCTCCAATTGAAACAAATAATTTAAAAGCGAAACATGTTGAAGTGAAATCTGTTAAAAACTTAATTCTTAAAAATGAAAGTATAAGTATTAATAAACCTTTTAAAATTAACAACTTAAAATGTGAGCGAGTGCTTGCAAAAACTTTAAATGGAAATCCGTTAAAAAATATTTATTTAAAAAATAGCAACGTTGTTATTAACGGATCAAAAAGCTTTAATGAGGTTGAAATTAATAATTTAGAATCCCCAAACATCGTAAGATTATTTTCTTAGCTAATATTAAAAAAATATTTAATAAATAATTTTTAGAATTACCCTGATTGCTTTAAAAATATAAATATAAACCAAATTGAGTTTGAGCCCAACTCAACAGTTAATAACCTCAATATTAAAACGATTAATGGTATTAATTGGGATGAATTTAAAAATAAATCCAAAAATCAAGAATTAAATAAGAAATCTCTTTCGGTCCCAAGCATAATAATAAATAAACTCCGAACTGAATCGATCAACGGCTTAAAAATTGACGATTTATTAACGAAAGGAACCGATCAAATAATTAAGTCGAAATTTGTTTTAAATAAATCTCAAATAAACAATTTAAAAGTACAAAAAGTGAATGGACTTGATTTTAATAAAGATATAGTAATTAATTCAAATAGAACAAAAAAATTTAACCGAATAAAAATTTTGGGAAATTTGCGATTAAAAAGTATCAATTTATCGGATATATTCATCCAAGGGAAACGTTTCGATTTCAACGTTTCCAACGATTATTGGATGGTGAACACGAATCAAACCATCCCAGGAAACTTAATAATCAAAAATACATTCGTTAATAATCTCAGAAGTAAAACGATTAATAATACACCCTTTAACGAATACATCTCAATCGATAAAGAGTGCAACTTCAAAAATTTGCACGTAAAAGGAAATCTAAAATTAAATTTTGAGAAGGAACATTCGCCAAATTGGGTCGATTTAAGTGAAAATATTGTTAGGAACGGCGGAGGATACAAATTGCGTGGACAAAAAAGTTTTAATGGCACAATAACTGTTATGAACGCCAATATTGATTATTTAAACAACGTTAAAGTCGATGATGTTCCTACTATACACAATAACGATTTTGATGGTAATTATAATTAGTGTAATTAATTATAACTATATTTAAAATTTTTAGATTACACCTTCGATACCATCATTGCAAATCAATTATTTTTTAAGAAAACCACAGTCGAAAAATTAAACAACAAAAGCATTAACGAGATCACAAATAATATCCAATTCAACGATCAAAAATTAAACTTCAAAAAACTTTCTTTGGGAAATGTATTAATTCATGATTTAAAAATCGATGAAAATCTCAACGATCACAATTTCTCGAAATATTTAGATGATATAAACAGTATTTACAAGATAAAGGAAATTAATAATGTTGAAGCTACAAAAAATATTAATGCTAAATTCGCGAAAATCACAAAATCAATTAATGGGGTTAATGTGGAGTTAATCGAGGAAGCTGTAAGATAATTAATAATAATTTTTATCTAATTCCATTAAAAAAATTATGTAAAGTAACTTTTTTTATAACTAGTGATGTAATGATTTCATTACATCACTAGTGATGTAATGAATTCCATTATCTATTACAAATTGACATCTATCACTAATAGAATTAGTCAAGTTTTGAACAAAAATTGCTTTTTCAATGGAATTAGATAAAATTTTGTACTCAACACATTAAAAAAAATTAGTCTTTTCATAACTAGTTACGTAAATAACTATTTAATGATTGTTTTAGGTACGAAAAGGAGCGATAATGAGCGGAAATATCACATTTAAAAATCAAGTTTTTATAAAAAACCTCTTCATCGAAAACCTAAACGAAATAAATTTACCCGAAACATTAAACAAACTATTAAAAAAAAATCAAAATCAAATAATTTCGGGAAAATACTCATTCAACATCATCCGGGCAAACGACTTAACATCAAACTTAATAAATAATTACAACTTAGAAAATTTAATTGATACCAATAAAAAAACTCAACAAGTTTTGAAAGGAAATTTCAAATTCAAATCGATTAATGTGAAATCGCTCAAAGGGGAATTAATTTGTAACTTAAAAGACGTTATAAATTTCTTTAAAACGCCCCCAATGAAAATTTGGAATTCCGTAACGATTAAAGGAAACATAACCGGAATTAACAACGTTTTCCAACACATCATCGACAACGTTGTGCGATTAGATCAAAACAACATCATCACAAAACCCGTTAAATTTGTCTCAAACGTCCACACTAACAATATCAAATCAAAACGCGGCTTAAATGGAATTTATTTGGATGAAATTCATAAAGACGCTTTACTCAAAAAAGGGGATGATCAAGTAAGTATTAATTAATTAATATATTATTATACATCAACTCAAAGAAGCAATTTTAAGCTATAAATCGTTCTTTAGGGCTCATAAATAAACCAGAAATGATTTTTAACCATCATTTAAACCGTTAAACCATTTTCTCATATGAAAGCGTCGTTCCATTAGCAGTGGTAGCAGAGCGTGGTTATTTCAAGTAATTGGTTTCAATACAAACCACAAAAAAATCTATCTCTAAATATATTTAAAACCTTGCATTAAATTAACATAATTATCATACCCGACGTCATCATTGCAAGTATGCAACCAATATCACAGTATGCGTATTGCAATACGGGTACTGTGATATTGGTTGCATACTTGCAATGATGACTATATTTAAATGAATTATTTTTTATAATAAAATATTTTTTTTTAGTTAATAAATGGTTTCAAAACATTCAAAATCTTAACATGTTCAAGCGCAGAAATTGATGGAAACGCCGATATCCCAATAGTAAATGCTATAATAATCAAAAACATAAACGACAGTTTAATAACAAAAGATATAGTTAATAAAATAAAAATCAAAGGTCACAAAGTGTTCAACTCGGGATTGAACGTTAAAAAATTAAACACTACAAACATTTCGGGCTTAAATACATCCCATCTAGTTAACTTGGACGATTTGAAATCCATCCCAAAAGCTAAATTCGCCACATCCGACATTGTAGGAAATTTAAGCTTATTCCACGTGAATAACACCGTGGATTTCAACAAATTTTTATTAAACAGATTTAAAAAAGACGGTGTCAACCAAGAATTATCTGGAGTTTATTATTTCGATGCTATCGAAACAAAAAAATCGATTAATCTGGTAAAATTAAACAACGTTGAAGTTAACGATGTTGTTGAAATTGATAAAGACATCAATTTAACGTCGAAGAATTTTGAAGGAAACCTTACAATTCAAGGAAACGTTACGTTAAACTTTATAAACGATGCGGATGTTTTAAAAAAATATAATTTAAGCGTATTTTATGGGAAACCTGCAAAGTTCTTAAACGATTTAGTCCTTGGTAATGTAACTGAATTAAATGGAAATGTAAAAACGAATAAAATCAATGGAGTTGACATCAAAAATGTTAACCAATTCTTAAACTCGAACGAAATTTATTTGAAAACGAAGCAAAACGAAGAAATTGTTAAAGAAATTCAAAACGTCGTTCAAAATCACAAAATTAACATCAAAAATATGCCTCAAGATTACATGTACTTAGAAAAAGTTGATGAACTCCAAATTAATATTCCTAACACAATATCAGCAGAAATTATTGATAAACCCGATGGGGTTTTAATTAATATGATTGATGATTCACCAGGAAATAATTGTGGCCTTCCAAAAGAAGGTTGCAATTGTCAAAGCCAACATGTACTAAAAATTACTAATAATTATTCCCTTCAAACTATCAGTCATGAATCTTCAGATAGAATTTTCAGTTATCAAACAGATTCAATTTCGGCCCATTTAATTACCAACACCATCAGTTACAGTCGACTTTGCACCAAAAATTTAAACCGAAACAATTCCGAATCAACAATTTTAACTTGGACAGATTTGAAAGGGTTAAAAACTTACACTAAATTCAATTTAACAGAAGGTTTTATAACAGGAGCCAAATATTTCGAATACATGGGCGAAGTTTATGTTGTTCTAACAAGATTTTATGAACAATCAGCGACAACTCATAATTTAGATTGTGTTATTTACAAATTTGGGCATTCAAATGTAATGTTTATTTTAAATATTTTTAATGGTTTTATTATTAAGTGCTTTGTTTTAGGGTTTGGTTGAATTAGTTCAAAAAATACCAACGAAGGGTGCTTGGACGTTGTATCTATTTAATTCGCCTCAAGGATTAATTTTAATTATAGGAAATATTTTTGATTCTACAAGTATTTTTAGTGGAACAAGCACAGATATTTTCATTTTTAATGAACATGTTAAGCAGGTAATTTTAATTAATAAAAATAGTAAAATTTGCCAGTTTCAGATTAATATAATCTTAATTACTAAAAAGATCAACTACTCAACTTGATAAAGCCACTATATGATTACCAGTTTTAGGTTGATACAATCTTAATCACTTATTAATTACTAATAAGATTAAGAAGTATATTTGATAACGCCGAGGCGCTACAATATGACTATTAGTTTCTGATTGATATGTTAAAAATTGAAGCAACCTCGGCTTAATTACTAAAAAAATCAACGATTCAACATCACAAAGCCGAGGCAGGTTGCGCCACTATATGATGACCAATTTTAGATTGATACAATCTTAATCACTAAGATGAGGTCGCTTGCGACCGAGGCTTAATTATTAATAAGATTAAGAAGTAGAGTTAAATGTTGAGAAGTTGTTCTCTAAGAACTTTTAATTAAATATCAATCCAAAATTGGACTATAAATACAAATTTTATGAAGGGTGCCATTTTTAAATATATATATGGGTTATAATATTAAAAAATTTTACTGTATTTTACAAAAACTGGTTTAAAAATCCCACATTAGCTATGAAAAATACCTAAATGTATGCAACTAATTTCACATTTGTCTTAATAACTCATTTAAATTTTTGGAATAACTCTGTATTCCTGTATTTATTTTATTCATATTAACACTTTTATCTAACATTAATTATTTTTATTTTAGTTTGAATTATTAAGAAATTTTGTTGGATCTGGAGCAATATCAGTTACTGACATAGTACTAAACGGAGAAACCCAAATAATTTTAGCGCAAAGAGATTCGCCCTTAGTTATTTTAAAATACAATGTAGATTACAACAATTTTTACATCTACCAAAACATCCATCAAGAATCGGAGATCATTTCCGTGTCAAGATTTTATTTGGGCGGAGAAAGAACTAAAGACGCTTACTTAAACGTCGTTACAGAAACGAACCAATTCTTTGTATACGTGTACAAACATGTTGAAGGTTGGATAATCGAATCACAAGGTGAAATTGATGGCTTGAGGTCTTTGGTTCCATTCAATTTAAACGGAAACATTTATTTATTGGCACCTTCAACTAAATTAAGCTCATTATTAACTGTTAAAAAGTACGGTTGAAATTATTTTTAAGTAATTTAAGGTAAATAAAAGTATTTCTGAAAAAAAAGTCACATAATTACTTCTTAAAAGCCCTTAAAACATCTTATTTAAAAGATAATTAATATCAAATCTAACCAAAAAATAAATCATGTTATTGAATTCTATGGATAAACATTTCTCGGAAATCAATCTGTTCCAAGAACAACAAAACCGTTGGAAATAATTCCACACATGCGCCTTACATTGTTCGTCGCAGCAAAATGTACAGCGCAAGTCCAAAAAAATCTTTTCTAAATCTAAAATTATTTATTAATTAAATTATCGTAATTATCATAAACACATATTTAAAGTTTGATCCAAAAAAGAAATTAATCCAAGAAAAAATGGGAAGAAAACGATCTTTTGGATAATCTGTACTGTGATGTTAGAAAAAGAAAGAAAGATATTTCTTGGAAAGGCAATAAATAATAAGATATCCGTTAACCAAAACTGGTCTTAACCAATCAGAGTCGATTATTTCGAAATGGCGCGCATGCGTGCTTTGTATATAAGCGGAGTGCACCACAACATGGCGTCATTCTTCCAGACGTGTTGAACCTGTGCAGAACGTTCGCGAGTTGTCCGCAACAACCGGTTAACATTATCAACTTCTAACCTCGAAGATGTCGAACCGAAAACGAGTAAATCGAAGCTTACCATTGATGGAATTCACCGATAAATTGCTGACAAAGAAGGTACGATAAAATTACATAAAAATCTCTTTTATATTCCGTTCCGTTAGAAACATAACCTCACTTTGTATTTATGTTGTCGCAGGAGGTGGAGGCGAATGCTCGGTTACATATGACATGTCCGGTGTTACAAAAGAAACACTTTTCACCGATTGGAACGCATAAATTGCTTTTTAGTACCCAAGAGGCTCGCATTTTAGCGTTTGATAAACCAGCACAATTGAGCCCGAATTACAACCCATCGATCAAGAAGACTTATTTCGCTCAGATGTACAAGATTCAAGACACCCTCGGCGAAGGTTCCTTTGGCGTTGTCTACAAGGTCATTTCTCGAGAAAACGAAGAAGGCTATGCAGTCAAAATTACCAAGAAAGCGTACTTAACCAAAAATAATTACGAAGAGATCAAGCTTCTCGAAAGAATTGGCAACCATCAGAACATCGTTAAATTTTATTTCGCCTGGGAAGAAATGTCTAGAGTTTTTACCCAATTAGAACTTTGCGCATTAAGTTTGGGAACTTACTCTAAAACTAACCACTCCATCACCGAAATACAACTTTTGGATATTCTCACCGATATGGCTCATGCTTTGAATCATTTGCACGATCGCAAATTAATCCATCTCGATATCAAACCTGAAAATATTATGATTTCAACTGATGGGATTTATAAATTGGGCGATTTTGATTTACTTTTTGACATCACGGTAAGTTACAAGAAAAAAATACTTGTATCAAGTAAATTAAAAAGTTTTTTGTACAATTTGGTTTTAACATTTCGGTCTTGCTCACTTCTAATTAGAGGTGGTATTAATTTTGTCTTTTATCCATCCTCAAAAATGCTTCTTAAGGACCATATCTTTATTATTTCTTGATTTATTGCATTATAAACATTTATTTATGCTTTTATAACATATAATGAATACAAAGAATAAATAAGTATAACAAAAACCTACATTTTGCTGGGCGCCATCTCCTCAAAAGGTCTAAATCGTGGTTACACTTGAAAACATGAAGTTACACATTGCAAAAATGCCATCCAGTAAGCCTCTGAGAAAGAAAAACGTTGGAAGATCGACCCACCTTGGTTAAGGATGCAAAATTGTCATATTGATATTTTCCCATGGTTTCCCAAATTACATCCATCTTATATTCTAGTGGCGTTTTCTTCCTCTTTCCTCCAGGAATTCATCCTTGTACTTAATAATGAAGACAACAAGGATGAAAGAACGATTCTTCCAATGGAAAGCTCAGAGTGTAGATCCAAATATCTTTCAATGCACTATACAGGGTTGAATTATACATTATTCTGAAGCGATTTTTCTAATAAAAATTTTTCAAAATGTTTAAAGTCGTCTAATAGCGGAATTTAACTCTTTCCGTGTCGAATCTATTGGTGAGCACTCGTGAGAAACGTATTATGAAGGGCGCGGCGGGCCAAAAACCCGTGTCTGATTTGCGATCTCCTATTGGACGACTTTAAACAGCTCCCTTCAACCACATAATACAGAAGATAGGGGACATCCTGTATAAATGCCCAACAGTCGATCTTTCCAAAATGGGAATCTGTAGTGTTCTTAGTAGCTATGTGGGCACTTTTTTCTATGATATTCTTTCTACACAAACATTTCATTGCTTCCCCAACCTTTAACATTATATCAATAATTTAGTTTTTGATGGATAAAGTTAATTTACATCTCTGCTAGATTTGAAAAATTTTTGGTTTAAAAATTTAATGAGGAGTTTGCTGTGATACTTTTTGCCATAATTTTTCTTGGGTTTGAACTCTAATTAGCGATATTATATAAATCAAAATAAAATTTTTAAGACTTTTAATTAATCAATATTATTAATTTTGTTAGAAAACCGAAGAAAATCAAGTAAAAACCTTTGATATAACTGAAGGTGACGCAAAATACTTAGCGAAAGAAGTGTTGGAGGGAAAAGTAACAGCCGCAGCTGATATTTTTAGTTTGGGAATAACGATGCTTGAATTAGCAACTGATTTGATCTTGCCGGTTAATGGACCATTATGGCGACGACTCCGTAATGGATCATACGATGATCCATGCTTTACCAGTAAGTTAATTAAAAATTTTTATCTTAAAATGTATTTTAATTTTTGTGAAAGCTAACAATTAAGGAATGATGAAGTGAGTGGCGGTTCTAAAATGTATTATTTGATTTTTTTGGGTTAAAAATAATGTTTTAAATCGTTTTTAGTTGTTCCGAAAAAATTGAAGACTTTGATGTGTAAGATGATGGCTCCTAAGCCACACGCCCGTCCAAAAGCGAAGCAGATTTTAAACACGGCGGTTGTTAAAGAAAATTTGTCGGCACAACTCCTTGTCCCACGCGTTAATTATTACGTAAGCTTTTAATTAAAACTTAAAATAATATAAATCTAATAATAAATAAATTTTTGTTTTATAGGAAGTTTGGAGGGCAAGTGTTGCTGAAACAATGGATCGAGATCCAGTCCCTGTTTGCATCAATGCTCAAAACGAAATGTAAGTAATTTAATAAATAATTTTTATATAAATTATAAATTCTATATTAATATTGATTTTGAAAATTTAGGAATATGGATGCTAATATGGATATTGAAACAACACCGTGCGTGACTCCACCGAGGAAAGTATCCCGAGTGGTTATTTACAACATGTAAAGATAGGTAAAAAATATGCTCGTTTCAATATGATCTCCGATGGCTGTTCACCTAGCTAGTTTAATAAAACGACGAAAACGCCGGTATTTAGTAGTCTTAATACATTTATATACGTTTGTTCATGTTTACTGTTGTTGCTCTATAATATGTTAAGAAAAGAAAAAAAAATAAGGAGCATATTTAATATTTATATATTTTGAAACGTTTATTAATAATAATGTTATTTAGAAATGTTATTGTGTATTTAATGTTAACGTAAACGTACGGTTTATACCTTTAGATAAAAAGAAATTATTAAGGTACACTAAGTACAGGGTTTTTACACAATAAGAAAGTTTTTTTTTTCACTCTAGGTTGTTCCAGCAGTATTTTTTGTAATACTATAAACGTTTTCATTTATTTTTTTTTAATAGCGTGGGTTGCTATTAAAAGTAGGAGTTACACTTAAGAGAGACTTTTTCCTTTTATCTTTGGATTATTTTAATTCCAATCTTTCAATCAATTCCAAGTTGTCGTTTAGTTTTAGCAAAGAAGATTTATTTATTTATTTTTAAGTTCTTTATGAGTTTAGTTTTCTGTTTGTAGTTTTTGTGATATAAAGAAAAACGATTAAAGTAACTTTTTGCAATATTACCAGAGACGGTGCTACTTATTGTCGTTATTAATTTCGGATTAATTTTCGTTATTAATTTCGTTACACACTAAAAGAAAAAAAAATAACCTAACTCAATTGTTGGATTTGAACACTTTGCAATATTAATTATTCGATTTAAGTATTTTTATAAGTATTTATACACAGTGATCTTAATACTTTAGTCATAGTTGTACTTGTTCAGAATATATGTTTATTTTTTTTGCTATTTTCATTTAAAAATCGTTTAGCTTCAGTACTTCTTTTTATTTATTTATTCACCTCGTCTAAAATAATCTTTCCAGCAAATTCCATTCTTTCCTATACGTTTTATTTTGGAAAAAGTAAGTATAAATGCTTTGGACATTTTAGCATTAGTTGCAGTGGTTAGAATTACTTAGAAATGTATTTAAATTCTACAGTTGTTTTATTGCCTTTTTGTATATTTAGGACGTTGTTATTCTGCGCAGATATAAAAATCGCTCCTTCAAATTCTTGATAGTTTTATAAAAACCGTTTTTGTAACCAAAATGAATTATTTAATGGAATATATTAAAAACTCTTATTATAATTATACAGGATGTTTCACGTAATTGGTTCATTCAAACTTTTTTAGGTTCCACTATTCGTACAGTTATGAAATTTTGGTAGCGTAGGTTGTTCATTCGGAACTTTCGATCTAAAAACTTCCGGTCTACCGGAAGTAGACCATACCTTCGTTATTTTAAACGGATTGCTATAGTTTTTATTACACCTTTTAATTACATAAAAAAATATGTTGACTTTCATAAAAGTTATTGGTACGTAGCGTTTTTCGTTTTCGAGTTATTTTCATTTTAAGTTTTTTTTTGGCAAATTTCACCACGCTCTTTAAAATCTCATATCTCAGCCAACGTTGATTCAAAAAAGTTCTAAATTGGTACGATTACTCTTCAGATGCTGTCAAATAACTAAATTAAATTTAATAATAAAATTTTTTGGTTAACACTATGCATGAAATAAGCTATAAATCGCTCTTAAAAAAATTAGGGAGCTTTAATTTTGAAAAACTAATAACGGAATCCGACATTATTTGACATATTTTGGTCAAATCCGCGAAGAAATACACCCAGCCGTTTTCGACATAACGGCGTCTTACTAAACCTCGATTTTCCGTGAAAGTGTATGGAATATCGAAAAAATATAATATGTCACTCATTAAGAACACATCAGGCTACCACTTGTTCAAAATTCAAATTTTCGCGTACCATAGTTTTCGAGAAAAAAAATCGCAAAGTTGACAAAATTGCCGGCACACTCAAAAATCGGGTACTTTTTTCATTTAACTCGCGATAAAAAGAAAACCGCGGATCCGAAAATTTTCAAATTATCATATGTTACGTGATTACAACAAACTGTCGCAATTTTTTTCATCGATCAGTTGCGAAGATATCGATCTCTAAAGTGAGGGGCCTTGACTTTTTGCACGGATAATCTGTAATAAGTAATCTGAATTTTCTGCCGGCGCCAAGCGAATAAATTTTTGCGAAACGTGCGGACGGCAAAGTGTTAATAAACAAATTATATAATTTAGGTAGTTTAGGGTTAAAAGTGTTCAAACATTAATTAGCATTCTGGGTATGACTCCTAAATTATCTTTATAAATTACTAATACATATTTTTATACATCTGGATGAGATTTCCGCATTAAATAATACGTTAAATTTTGGCTGCAAGGACGAATTTAAAAAAAATTTACGAGATGCAGGTGTTATTATCGAGCGGTGAATTCGCAGAATTTGCAACAAGTTTACTCACGTTAGGCGCCTATAAGACGGGCCGTATGGTCGATTTCTCATTGTTTGGGCGCCTATAACGCAGGTTGCAGAGACAGTTATTCGGGTAGGCGCCAATAAGGCGGATCATCTGTTCATTTCCTAGAAATCAGTACAATTGGTTCAAAAATCGTTTATTTGAAATCGTTTTCTATGAAATAGAATTGTTTTATTTAATATTTTGCGTCGTTTTGAATTGCTTCTTAAGGAAATAAAATGATTAATTACAATTTAATTTATTATTTTATAGATTACAATACAGTGAAGAAGGAGCATCCAAGGGATAAATTTAAATCGACCCCATGGATTTCCAAACTATTTTTTTCCTCGTTATAACCGAGATTTTTGGCGGGATCTGAAGACATGCTCGTTATAGAGTTACAATTAATGTAGTTAGGTATTAATCCTATTAATTAGATCCTAAGGTATAATACAAGGCCTAATTATATTTAAAAATGTTTGTAAATCAAGAGTATGAGGAATAATAATTATTATTTAAATTGAGTAGTTCGGATTAGTGACGAATAGATAGCAGCAGTATATAAAGAATCCTGTTTGGGAAAAAATAACTGTCTATAAAGTAGTGTTTAAAAAGTAATTCACTAGATGTCGTTAGATATTGAGTATTTGTGGCAGGTGTAAGGTCGTGAACCTTGCTCAATGCGATCATATTTTAGCACCAATGAAAGGTCAGGGCAAATATTTCACGAAAACTAGTTTAACGCCCAAAAGAATGGACTGATTCTGCCACGCAATCACTCTCCAAAAAATCATCAACACAATTTCACCGAAAACGGTATCAACTCCTTTGCTATGGAACAAGGTTTGTGTAAGCTTGAAAGTTTATGGTACGATTTTTTCCTTCTATTGGTTTGTAGAGTTGTGTGTCGTTTGCGGTGATAGGGCATCAGGGCGTCATTATGGGGCGATCAGCTGTGAGGGTTGTAAAGGTTTTTTTAAGAGGTCGATTCGTAAACAATTGGGTTATCAGTGTCGGGGTAATAAGAACTGCGAGGTCACCAAACACCATCGAAATAGGTGCCAATATTGTCGACTACAAAAATGTCTCGCCTGCGGAATGAGAAGCGATTGTAAGTTTAACTTTTACTTATTTCATTAATTATTTTAAGCGTACTAATTGAGTAGTTTTAGCTGTTCAACACGAACGTAAACCAATGATCGTCAAAAAAGAATATCCAAATAACACAACATCCACCTACAACACAAACGAAGTCAACAAAATTTTCATCAGAAAAGATCTCTCCTCAGAAGCCCCATCTTTATTACAACAATCATTTAACCCAGCCTTAAGCAACATTTTCACCAAACGCATCGGACCATTACCCGAATTTCCGTATCACACCTCACCATCTCATCTCAGCTATGAAGACGACGCATCCATGGATAGCACCAACACCGGCACCGGCGAACTAACAGACGCTTTAAACAACGCCAGAGAGAAACAATTAATTTCAAAAGCTCTCGATTCTATCGCACGGATCCAGTGTATGAACGGAAGTGATCTCACATTAACTGCAGAAGATAATTATTTTGAATTCGAAGGACCCCTTCTTCAAGACCAACATGTTGCCTTTAACTTAGAAACGCCAGGCCCAGTTCCGCCTTATCTTAATACACATTATATTTGTGAAAGTGGCTCAAGGTTATTATTTTTATCAATACATTGGGCTCGAAATGTACCTGCATTTAAATATTTAAGGTAATTAATTTTCTTTTTTAAGAGTTACACCTTTACCTCAAAAAATTTTGAACCCTTTTCATATAAAATTGGATTTTAAATAGGGATTACTCCACCATTCACAGGAATTAGTATCTCTTTTAGCCCCCAATAGGACTTTTTTCATTGAATACAACTTTATTTATATCAGGTTTATCTTTAGCAACCTCATTGTAACAATCCCAATACGATATATATAATATCTCTTGTTGCAGTTTCGTCTAGTTTCCTTCTCTTCACTTGTAATTCATCATCACATTCATTATTAACAAAACTGTCGCTGTTATCACTTTCGATTATTAATTAAAGTATTCGTATAAAATCCATTTCTTGGAATATGAGCATGAAAATTTCCCAAAGTGTTAATAAGAGTGTCCTCTTTCCAATGAACCAACCCGTTTTGAAAAATAACTTTTAGTTTTTGAGAAAACAATATTTGAAGTTTTGATAAAATTTTCGATGTTGCAATTTTCATCGATAAGGTACTAAAGTACAAAGAAACTCCGCCCTCAAAGGGAAAAAAGTTGCACCCCTATAGATCAGTTTGGGTCACTTTTACCCGTCAGTTCAGTTCTGACATCGAAGCACAAAGTGTGGACTCAGTGCGAAAAACCACGTGCATCTTAACCCAAAAAATCATGAATATACCAATTCATTACGCGTATCCTTATAACACATCCATCCACGGTTATCAAGATGTTCCACCTGCTCCAAGAGTTATGTATCATTTACCAAGAGTTGTTTTAAATCAGAAATCAAAATTTAAAACTGATGAAACATTTAAAGCACTCAGTATAAAATCAGAGGTAAGTTTTCAAGTTCAATAGGTTGAAATTTTTTATTAAAATTAAATAAATTTATTTAAAGATTCGATATACTGGAAGAAATGACTTAAATATAGACCAACGTCGAAAATGTTTTTTATCAGATTGTGTAAACGGCCATGTGGACATATCTTTTATATCTAAAGGAATCACCATTGGATTAGCTGTATCGCTTCAAAGTATTGATGTCAATAACCCCCCAGAAAAGGTAAAGAGGATACAAACGAATATGTTAATTAATATTAATTAATTGCTTTGTAAGTTAAAATTTAACAGTAATTATTAAATTTATTCAATTCAAATTCAAAACTTCGTGAAAGTTCATTTAATTAATTTCCGTCATCAATTCGATTAGAAATTTGTTATCATATATCGCGACACCAATTTAAATTTTCCATTTAACGAGCATGGATAAATTATAATTGGGAAGGAAATAAAGCAGTGAAATTGAAATCAAATATTACTCATTTTTTTATTTACAGATTTATCTTAACTCCTCGTTTATAATGAACGCCGTTTGCGTTCGATTTCAAGGATGGATTGATGTTAACATCTTAGACGGGATCGGTTATTTGGAATACGACGAAGAAAAGGGCGAATACGAGGACGCTATTTTAAAGGAGAAAATTAAAAGGTGCCACCAAACGACATCGCACAACAGTGATGAAAAAAGTAAATATTGTATTTCGCAAGAAATGCCACGACAAGAGGTAAATAAGTTTAACACAAATTTTTANAGTGTCCTCTTTCCAATGAACCAACACGTTTTGAAAAATAACTTTTAGTTTTTGAGAAAACAATATTTGAAGTTTTGATAAAATTTTCAATGTTGCAATATTCATCGATATTTTCAAAATTCGCTATAAAATTAATTTCTTGAAGGATCCTTGTGGAAATATCACCAATTATTAATTAAAGTATCCTCTTTTCAATACAACAAGCCGTTTTGAAAAATCGCTTTTAGTTATTGAGAAATAAATTTTTGAAATGATCGACAATTTTTTAGAAAATTCAGAAATTATAACCATAATGGCCAACGGGGATGCTGGGGATTTTTGCAAAATCACTATCCGTTCCATCACTACTTCGCACAAGTCTTTATTATCATGAAAAACATTCTGATACAAATTTATAAAGATTTTAAAAATTTCAGTTTATAAAATTACAATCGAATTGGTTACCCGGAAGTGGTACTTATACTAAGTGAGGCATTTAAGTTGAGACTTCGTTAAAAAAAAATGTTTCTGATAAAAATTATTTATTTTTACATGGGGAATAACATACTTCTCAAAAAAAAATATTCTTGATGGTCCTTCTAAGTTGAGTTGTTTCCCCCATCATATAAAAAAGTTTTATTAGAAACTTTTTTTTATGATTTTACATCACTCGGTATTTTTTTTTTTTATCCAAGAATATCTTATTTTTTATTAATTAGCTAACCTGAAATTATTATTAATTTTTTTTACAGTATGGATATACAAGTATCATTATTAAAAAATTGTTGGGCTGAATTATTTGCCTTGGGTTTGGCGCAGTGTTCGCAATCATTATCATTAACGACGATATTAGCTGCGTTGATAAGTCATATACATTCATCGATCGCTCAAGAGAAGATGACGGCGTTAAAAGTGAAACAAGTAACGGATCATATCGTTCGATTACAAGATTATGTGAATACGATGAATAGGCTTCATGTGGACGTTCATGAATACGCGTATTTAAAATTGATAGCGCTGTTTTCTAGTGATCAACCAGGATTGCATATTCGAAAACCGATTGAGAAGATGCAAGAAAAATCGTTTCAGGCTTTACGAAATCACGTTAATCAAAGTTTTCCCGGTGATTCAGATCGATTTCCAAGGTAAAGTGAATTATTGAGAGATTATTGGTTTTATTAATTTATTTTTTTTTAGATTATTGTTACGTCTTCCACCACTTCGTGCCTTGGAACCACAAATTTTAGAAGAATTATTTTTTGCTGGTCTTTTAGGTCAAGTACAAATTGATAGTGTGATTCCTTATATTTTACGTATGGGAACATCAGCTGCTAACAGTTTTAATCGGCAGGTAAAGTCTGAACAAATTGAACAAGAATTTCTTTGCAAATAAAAAAGTAATAATTTATGAGACTGGCAATCGTAATCATTAAAACAAAAAAAATACCAGTGCAATTTCATTATTTCAGCATTTAAAGAAACGATTTAAGATGTACTTAAATGAATAAAATCGTTATGTTTTTAGTCGTAATATGACAATAACTAAAAGAATTGAATGTAAAACGCGATTATAATTTATAATTAATTTTTAAAATACCAAATTTAGGTAAATCTTGTGTAAATAATTTTATTTGTACTGTATTTCAGGGTTTTAAGTACTTATCTTTAGTAATAAGTCATAATATAGTTTCTATGTTTCATTTTTTAAAAGTATTACAACGGAATTTTCTCGTCTTCATCATCTTCACGATTTCTTTACCATCTTGATCATCACTTTTTTTATAAAAAAAGAGAAAAAATCTATCCTCTCTACGTTCTTAGTATTTTTTAAGTATTTATTTTCTCTAGTGCAATGCACACTTATCTATGTGATACTATGTACAGGTTTTTGTGCCTTGCTGAAAAAAAAATTTATTAATTAAGAAACAAATTTTCAAACAAAAAGATTTCGTTTAAGAAAATACAATAACGAATTTCTTAGACAATACTAAATACACACTTAAATAAGAGTTTCATTTATTTATATAAATATTTCCTACAAAATGTAATATTTTCGAAAATAAAGAAAAAAAGTACCTGAGTTATCTTTATATTCACCTAATTATAATATTCCTTTTATTCTTTAATTTATTATTATTATTATTATCAGTGCGATTCAAGCCAATAAAAATTAGATGAATTCTTAATGGTAGAACTCGGGAAATGGAGATATTACAGAATAACTTTTAGAACAAAAGATGTAGGAAATTTTATTCTAAACAATATTGTTCTCTTTCACTTTTCCTCTCAGACGCATAGATGTCGAAAAATATGAAATTAGATAAATTTATTAGTTGTTAATGGTGGAATTTATAGAAATAAATTTGATTCTACACAATATTGCTATCTTAATCCGTTAATTTACGAGTTGTATTTAAGCACTACAACTTGAAAAACTGTTCCGACACTTCAAAATCTCGAGTTCCATACGCAGCAAGACTGGGATAAATTGGATAGGATCAATAGAATCACTGGTTATTACCAGGTGACGAAATGAGAAAAGACGGTACAAGCCAAAGGATTAAATTTCGTCGATCTTAAAACGAGTACCACAAGAAGAAATTAAGTAGAGATGGCAGCGCAAAAAACTGAAGCCATCCATCAACACGTCGCAAGAGTTAAAAACTGTGAAATCACCAAAATCCAATTTGACACTTGGCGAAAGAAAAGTTTTATTAGAAGAAAGACACTTACAGGAAAAATTATTAAAAAATAAGGGAAGTAAAAAAAACTGACTGTGGAAATTTGGACAAAATTAGTAAAATTTTTAAGAAATTTTTTAGACATTTGATTAACTTGTTATCTACCTGAAATTGTCATGTTATCTCCCACCACTTAAAACCACCTGTACTAAGTTGACATTATGGACGTTCACTCGATCGTTTTAGTTTAGTCTTGTTAGTAGACTCCGAAGTGCGAAGTAGATACTCCATTTTTTTTTTAAACAATTTGTGGAAGAAAATTTTTTGAAAAATGCGTTATGCGTTGGCGAATACATTTGTAGGGAGCGCAATAGGCGCTTCCGTTGTCTTAGGTGAGTTTTTGGGCAACCTTTTTATTATAAAACTAAGTGAAATGGGCGTTCTCGGCATGTGACTTAAATTGTGGTTTGTTATTTTCGACAGGAATCTATTATATGTTTAATGGAAAGGGTGAACAAGTTAATTTTGGATGGTAAGTTATTTTTTTTAATGTTTTAATAACTTTATTTTTTTAAATCTTTTTATATGTAGAAAAGTTTTGATAGAATTGAGTCATGTGATTTCAACTTAATTAATAACCCATTAATATTTCAAATAAAAATTGCGATTACATTTAATATTAAATTATTTTAATTATTTCAAATTTTTTTTTATTGCTTAATGTTAAAATTGTTAAGAAATGAATATGATTTGATTAATTTGATCACGCGCTGTTAACATAACATATTTCTTATTGGTTATGTCAATATTACGCGGCAAATTTAAAAATAATTATTTTAAAATTAAATAAACTTTAGGTTCCTTCAAGAAACTTCCCCGTACATGTGGGCATTAGTCGGAATAGGATTATCAGTGGCTTTATCGGTTGTAGGGGCAGCTGTGTAAGAATCTTAATTTTTTTAAATTTTTGATTTTATTAAATAAATTTTATTCAGTGGTATTTACACAACGGGTTCAAGTATAGTTGGGGCTGGGGTGAAAGCTCCCAGAATTAAAACGAAGAATTTAATTTCAATTATTTTCTGTGAAGCTGTTGCCATTTACGGTTTGATTACTTCAATCGTACTTTCTGGTATATTAGGGGTAAGGTTTGCAATTTTAAGATGATCAAGATTAAAAAAGCAAAAATTTTAGGAATACAGTGTGACTGTGGCTGCGGAAAATGAGCTTTTTAGGGCCACCCAATATACCGGGGCTTACATCATTTTTGGAGCTGGATTAACTGTCGGTTTTGTAAATCTATTTTGCGGATTATGCGTTGGAATCGTCGGTTCTGGTGCTGCTATTGCCGACGCCGCGAATTCAAACTTGTTCGTTAAAATTTTAATTATAGAAATTTTTGGAAGCGCTATCGGTCTTTTTGGATTAATCGTAGGGATTTATTTGACTTCGAAAGGGACCATGGGAGATAGCAAATAAAAAAAAGGTTGGAAAGAGAAAGTGGGAGGTTTTAGTTTTATTATAAATAATAATGATTCAATATGAAGTGTATTTATCGTGTAAATATCTAAAAGAAACTTGTTAAAGTAGTTAAACTGTTTTAAAAAATAAAAATTAATCTAAATAGATGGTTTTAAAATTACCTCCTTTTTGAAATTCCTGTATTATCGACTTATTTGACACTGACACATTAGTACATCAAATCGCTCGCTAACTCGTTGGAGAGGGTGTTTTAAAAAATACATCACCATGGCTGGTCCTTTAAGGGTTATCCTCGGCACTGTGTTTCTTTCTGCAACAGTTACCTCCATCACTATATTATGTAAGTTATCCCTTCAATATCTATTTATATGAGGATAATCAATAATTAATTTTTTCAGCTTTGTATCATCTTTTAACTGGGAAAGGTGAGAGGATTAGTTTTGGCTGGTAAGTTATCAAAGAATACATCTCATTTTATTATGATGTAACCACGTAATGAATTAATTAGGTTTCTTGAGGAAACATCACCTCATATGTGGGCTACAATTGGAATTGGTCTATCCGTAGCATTATCTGTCGTAGGAGCTGCACTGTAAGAATATTTTATTTTTAAAGATCGTTTTTGAAACAAAAAGTCTAAATTTAAGATAATAATAATTGTGTTTAAGAATCCATAATTAGTATTATAGACAATGAAGGATCAATCATTGATGGAATTAATAATGCAAAGGGGGAAAAATATTTTTAAGTATTTTTAAGAAAAGGTGGCAATTCCAAGAGAGAAGAAATAAAAGATGGAATGGATGATTGAAAAGTAACAATGGAAGAGATATAATTAAATGAGGGAGTTTGATCCATGTTGACCAGTTATTTCTATAATATAAATTAAATAACTCATAATATATTAATATACAGGGTGGTTCAGTTTTTAATCGGGAAACTTTACTAGGACGTAGTACTTGCCAAAATAAACAAGTTTTTTATATAAACATAGGGTCGCAACTCTTCTGTTTTCGAGCTATGAGCTGTCAAAGTTGAGCCAAAAATTTACATTTTATCTTTTATTTCGGGTATGAGTAAACCATAGAATTTGAAATTTGGTATGTATGTACTACTGGTTAATATCTTATTTTCAACCATACCTTAAACTTCCCTAGCGCCCTCTAAGGAGATGAAATTCACAGCCCCTTTGATTTTTTTATAACAACTTCTTAACGCCATGGAATATTAACAAAGAAAAATATGGGTTGTAAAGCTTATTCATTACTAGTACTTTTTTCTCTCTTTAGTTTTTTCCTTAAAAATAATAGTTTTAACGTAAAAAAATAAAATATGCTACATTGTACTGTAAAGCGCTGCTATTATTAAAAAAAATTTTTCTTTATAGGTGGCTATGGAAGTTGTGCACTTACTAGGATCTAGTACTAACTAAATAACACCAATTAATTGTGATTTTCATAAGAAAAACCATAAATAAGATTAATGCCTGTCTGAACAAATTACGTTGTTTTAAACAATATTAAAAAATTGATACTCTGGCTTAATAACCGTCAAAAATTATTAATAACCAGCAATAATTATGAGGATTCACTGTAAATGAAACTTACAAGTTCTCAGAGCAAACTTTTAGAATAATTTTGGCTAAACATGGCGGCACATAGCAGTGCATGGCACGATATTTTATTTTTTTACACGGAAACTATTAACTTTAAGGAAAATACTAAAGAGACAAAAAAGTACCACTAAAGAGTGAGCTTTGCAACCCATATTTTTTTATGTTCATATTCCATAGCGTTAAAAAGTTGTTATAAAAAAAACAAGGGGGTAGTGAATTTCATCCCCTAAGAGGGCGCTGGGGAAGTTTAAGGTATGGTTGAAAATAAGTTCTTAACCAGTAGTACATACGTACAAAGTTTCAAATTCTACGGTTTACTTGCAGCCGAAATACAAAACAAAATGTAAATTTTTTTCTCAACTTTAATCGCTCATAGCTCGAAAACAAAAGAATTGCGACCCTATGTTTATATAAAAAATTTGTGTTATTTTGGCAAGTACTACATCCTAGTAAAGTTTCCCGATTAAAAACTGAACCATCCTGTATATAATAATGTACTAATACATTATAAAGAAACTTTTGGCATAAAAATTGTATTCTTAACTTAATTTTCATATTTTTCTCAATATTTATGCATCTGAGAGCAAAATTGGAAAAGAGCAACATTGTTAAGAATAAGATTTGCTACAACTTTTACTTGCAATTTATGGTAGAAGTAACCTCCTACTACTTGCATTAAATATTGTTCATGATGCATCTGAGAGCAAATCATGAACAATAAGTATCATGTATCATGAACAATACAATAAGTATCAAGTATTCTTCATGATACTTGGGGCGGCCGACGTCTTCGAAGTCGGCCGAGATTATTTCTTATATCACGAACAATATTTGGAGCGGCCGACGTCTTCGAAGTCGGCCGAGATTATTTCTTATATCACGAACAATATCTAGATCGGCTGACTTGGCTTGTTGGTAGAACAAGCAAAAGTTTTAGTATAAAAGTTGTGGCAAATTTGATTCTTAACCATATTTCACTTTCACTTTTGCTCTCAGACGCATAATTATCGAGAAAAATATGAAAATTAGTTGAAATCCTGGTTTTTCATACTTTTGATGGTAGCGCACGGGATTCGGAACATATTATAAAAAAACTTTTGGTATAAAAGTTGTAGCAAATTGTATTCTTAACAATATTACTGTTTCTCACTTTTACTCTCAGATGCAGAGATTATTATTATTATTAAAGACAGTTGGATCCAGAGTAGTATACATTAGGTAGACCATCTAGACTATACCACTGTGCGGAAGCAAACATGCATCATTCATCATCCATGGTGGCCATCATGAGTGAAGAGGGGCCATTACATTGCGCCACAGCTCGGACATGACCAGTTTTGAAGCAGAAGTTCTTGCTATAAACTTCTGCACCGTTTTGAACCTAGAGAAGGGACAGAAAGGTGCATCCATAAACATTTTCACAGACAGTCGGGTCGCCCTAAAGGCAATTCAGGCCTACACGTGTGATTCCACACTGATCAGAGAGTGTACCAGCAACCTAACAGAACTCGCAGTCGACTGAAATGTAGTATTTGAGGTATGAGAAAATAGACCGGTCAAAAAAGTTGGGGAAGGCAGAGTGCAGGAGAGAAGATGAATAAATTAGACAGAAGCTAGAATATTAGCAAAAGATAAGAAAAAAATGGAAGAAATTGGTGGATAGTATTAAAATTTAATACCCAACACTATGTTAAATACTACACAGGATTTATTGATTAAGATTAATTAACAAAACCAAAGATAACTCTATAAAATTGAATTTTGAGTGGTTTTAGTATCTCATGACATAATTTTTGTCTTAAATACTATTTTTTTTTAATTCAAAATAGACTTTTTGTATTTTGAAAACACTCCTCAAAATAAAATCTTCATTAATCTAAATATATTTACTTAATTTTCAGTGGTATTCATACGACTGGAGTAAGCATCATCGGGGGTGGCGTGAAAGCGCCAAGAATCAAGACGAAAAATTTAATCTCAGTCATTTTCTGCGAAGCAGTTGCGATTTACGGTTTAATCACCGCGATCGTTTTATCTGGATATTTGGAAGATTTTAGTTGGACGAATCTAACCCCGGAATCTCGTATGAAAAATTGGATGTCTGGTTATTTAATGTTTGGGGCTGGAATCGCGGTTGGTTTGGTGAATTTATTCTGCGGGATGGCTGTTGGGATTGTTGGATCCGGCGCTGCGCTTGCTGATGCTGCGAATTCAGCTTTGTTCGTGAAGATTTTAATCGTTGAGATTTTTGGGAGCGCTATAGGACTTTTTGGATTGATTGTGGGCATTTATATGGTGTCCAAAGTTCAAATGGGGGATATTAAATGAATGTAGTAATTAAGTTGTTGTAAATATTTGTGTTATTAAGATCTTGCTTAGATTTTAGAGTTCCATTATTAAGAGAATCTTCAATGACGATTAATGTTATGTATTTAATTTGGAAATATTGTAATCGAAAATAAAATTTAACGAAAAATACCTTATAATAACTTTATTTAACATGATATAAAAATATCTGACAAAAAATATATGTGAAATAGAATGTAATGAATAATTATTTTGAATGTAAAATCTTCATGATGTCATCAATGGTCTCTTTAAGGCAATCAATGAACTCCTTTCCGTTTTGTTTTGGATAATTGGTAACCAAAGTTCCAATATACTCATCTTTAATGACGTATCTAAAAGAAATAAATTAATAAGATTTTTGAATGGAACAAAAATTAATAAATTATTAAATTACCCTAAACCTAATCCATTTTCAACGACGGGTCCGAAACCCCCAGCTCTAACAGCAGGGGAAGATAAAGTACTTGTAGAAATAATATTTTTTTGTAAATTTTCGTACGCAGGATCATCGAAGATGTTTTCGGTGTAATTTGATTTTTTCGCAAGTAATTCTAACGCGTAAAGATGTCGATCAAATCCTTGACCCATGGCGGCTTCTCTGGTTAGTTGCATATGGACTCTTGAACATTCTTGAACGAGTTGTTTTAACTGGATGTTTGAAGGACGGTTTTTCTTAACTAAAGCTTCGCTGAGAGATTTTGTCGCAACGGTACAAGGACGTACGGTTTCCGTTCGGCCGTGTTTAAAAGCTGCAGTGCTACACGATTCGTAACTTGGGACAAAACAGTCGTGGATTTTATAATAAGCAGCTTGGAAGCTCATTTGCATCAGCGCATCGGGGCTTATATTAAATTGGCGGCAATTTTTGCGACCGACTCCTTCAAGTTCGATCGCGTTAATCGATAAGGAATCGCACCAAGATTTATATGAATTTTGTGCCGATTTAATCTCGCTTTTCGTATTTTCATCTAAACATATTTGTAAGCGTTTTACGGAGGAGTTAGCTTCATCGGATGGTTTTGTATCCGGGTGGATTAGAGGGTTTTTCGTGGTATCTTTGTAAATATCTTGGAAATAACGCAAAACGGCCACTCCGTCGCCCCAGGAATGTTCGAAATTAACCCCGGCAAATCCATCTTTACTCACTTGGAGTGAAAATGATTTATCAAACCATCGGTTATCGCCGTTACCGTGAAGGAAAATTCGAATTAATTTATTTAAATCTTCGCCGATCGATTCATCGTCTAAACAAATATTAAAAAGGGAGCTATCTATGATTTTAAACGTGTCTTGGTTGCCCAATTCCGTTAAGTTGTGGCGTAAAGTGGCCCATTTATTACGCTCCAATGTTGTTAAAACCCCAATTGGGAATTCGTTTGGTTTTATGTTATCATCAATGATGTATTTTAGGCGAGCCAAAATTGAATTTGGTGATATGATGTTATCGTTTTCATCTAACACATCGAAAGCGTAAAAATAACCGTTTCTTTGGACGGTGATGTGTTTGGCTTTATGATTTGTGTAAAGGCGGTCTTTATCAATTTCCGGGATTCTAGTTGTGTTAAATAAGCTGGGGTATTGACTCATATCAAGGGGGTATGCTTTAAATAGGAAGGCGGCGTACCAAGAGAACGGTGATGGTATTTTTGAGCAAATATTACGAAAAGTTTCGTTATCACTTTTCTTAGGGTTTAAATGAAAAACTTCCGGTTCTAAAATCCCCGCTTTCAACGATTTATAAAATTTTAATGAGCTCAATAACAAATTTGCGGTACGAATTAATTGATTATTGTATTCTTTCTTTGGATCGTTTTGAAAAACCAACATTGGGTTAAAATTAAGTGGTAAAGGTTTTCTCAAGCTCAAATACATATCAAACCAAGCTTCGGAAATGTAACTTGTGTGCTTATTTTGTTTATCATTTTCTTTTAATAATTTTTGTAGCTCTTTACCGTGGGTGTCACGAAATTTCCATACTGTATCTTCAGTCTTATGGTAATACTCATCAATTAATAAAGGTCGTTGCGCAGCCAAATACCTTTCACAAGTTAATTCAAGTTTTGGTATTGGTAATCGAGGTAAAGAAGGTTGAAAATGCATCGTTGGTATTTTACTATGTTGGATATACATGTTCTTACCACTGAAGCATCTTCTAAATCCTAATCGATGAAGTAATGGGAAGGCACTTGTTGATTGAAAAATCACCATTTTGTATAATAATAATATATTAATATTCCAAAATATTTGCGGTTTTGAAATACCAAGTATTAAAGTAAATATAAAAAGGCTTATTTAGGCTATTTTCGATCGATGTGGCAATTACTCGGCCGATTCACACTTTGCAATAAAAATTGTTTTAATTGAACATAAACGTTTTGTCATAGAACATAACCTGTACCCGACTTTGAGAACGTAAACGTGAATAGTGAGCAATTTCGCATGGTAATCGACATTTATATCGGCTTACGGTTTTTTATTTATTATCTGGAACCCTCGTGGGAATTTAAACCATTGAATTAGGTGATAAAACCTTTATCTAAACAATAACAAAAGCTCGACTTGCCTTACTCTAAACATGGTATTGTTACATGCATAAACAAAAAATATGGGAAAAGAACAAAGTGCAATTATGTTTAGGAATTTATACATTTTTCTATATTTATTATTATTCTGGCATTTTAAATGACAATGGTTAATTAATGAATGGTTTTCAAAAAGTATTTATTTTTTATTTTATTTTACTTGTCATTCTAAAATGTTGAGGTAGTTTTCTGTAAATAGCGTCATCTTTGATTAAGTTACTAAAATTAATTTTTAAAATTTTGATAATTTAATAACTACTTCACCATCTTAAAGGGCCAATACACATCTTAATCTTGAGGATTCAACACCAAATTTTATTAAGACTATAATCTATACATTTGAGAATATTTTAACACTTGTGGAGCTTTCTCTCTTTGTTATTCCTAGATTCCTCCACCCTATGACTTAGAAAAAGTGTCATACCATCTTTCGATGAGAACTTGAATTGGTCAATTCGGTTCTAATTCTCTATTCGACTTCAAATTTTGATCTAAATTGCGTAAATGGCCATACAAACTTTGAGAGCTAAATCAAATCTATTCAATTTGAACTAGCAAAACGAATTGTATAGCACCACTAGTCTAAATTTGAATTCTATTTCTATATTGGTCACAGGGAAATTAAAAAATTGTTAATTTTAAACAATTCTGCCAAGAAAAGTTGTTCCTTTTTTAATTCTTAACTAGTTTTATTTGAAAAATATTTTGATACAAACAATAATTAGGAAGATAATCTTGAATTCTATTTCTATATGGTTCACAGGGAAATTAAAAAATTGATAATTTTAAAAAATTGTGCTTACAAAAGTTGTTCCTTGTTTAAGTCTTAACAAGTTTTATTTGAAAAATATTTTGATACAAACAATAATTAGGAAAATAATTTTGAATTAAATTTCTATACTATTCATATTGAAATTAAAAAGTTGATAATTTTAAAAAATGGTGCGAATAAAAGTTGTTCCTTATTTAATTCTTAACAAGTTTTATTTGAAAAATATTTTGATACAAACAATAATTAGGAAGATAATCTTGAATTAATTTCTATACTGTTCACAGGGAAATTAAAAAAATGATAATTTTAAAAAATGGTGCCAAGAAAGTTGGTTCTTTTTTAATTCTTAACAAGTTTTATTTGAAAAATATTTTGATACAAACAATAATTAAGAAGATAACCTTGAATTTCATTTCTATACTGTTCATAGGGAAATGCAAAAATTGATAATTCTAAAAAATGGTGCCTACAAAAGTTGTTCCTTTTCTAATTCTCAACAAGTTTTATTTGAAAAATGTTTTGATACAAACAATAATTAGGAAGATAATCTTAAATTCTATTTGTATACTATTCACAGGGAAATTAAAAAGTTGATAATTTTAAAAAATGGTGCCAATAAAAGTTGTTCCTTGTTTAATTCTTAATAAGTTTTATTTGAAAAATATTTTGATACAAACAAAAAAAATAACCAACATAATTAAATAGGCAATAAAAAATTTCATAATTTTAAAAAATGGTGCTAATAAAAGTTGTTCCTTTTCTAATTCTCAACAAGTTTTATTTGAAAAATATTTTAATACAAACAATAATTAGGAAAATAATCTTGAATTAAATTTCTATACTGTTCATAGGGAAATTAAAAAATTGATAATTTTAAAAAATGGTGCCAATAAAAGTTGTTCCTTTTTTAATTCTTAACAAGTTTTATTTGAAAAATATTTTGATACAAACAATAATTAGGAAAATAATTTTGAATTAAATTTCTATACTGTTTACAGGGAAACTAACAAAATTGATAATTTTAAGAAATGGTGCTAATAAAAGTTGTTCCTTGTTTAATTCTTAACAAGTTTTATTTGAAAAATATTTTGATACAAACAAAAAAAATAACCAACATAATTAAATAGGCAATAAAAAATTTCATAATTTTAAAAAATGGTGCTAATAAAAGTTATTCCTTTTCTAATTCTCAACAAGTTTTATTTGAAAAATATTTTAATACAAACAATAATTAGGAAAATAATCTTGAATTAAATTTCTATACTGTTCATAGGGAAATTAAAAAATTGATAATTTAAAAAAATCGTGCCTACAAAAGTTGTTCCTTGTTTAATTCTTAACAAGTTTTATTTGAAAAATATTTTGATACAAACAATAATTAAGAAGATAACCTTCAATTTCATTTCTATACTGTTCATAGGGAAATGCAAAAATTGATAATTTTAAAAAATGGTGCCTACAAAAGTTGTTCCTTTTCTAATTCTTAACAAGTTTTTTTTGAAAAATATTTTGATACAAACAAAAAAAAATAACCAATGTAATTAAATAGGAAATAAAAATTTCATAATTTTAAAAAATGGTGCTAATAAAAGTTGTTCCTTTTCTAATTCCCAACAAGTTTTATTTGAAAAATATTTTAATACAAACAATAATTAGGAAAATAATCTTGAATTAATTTTCTATACTGTTCATAAGGAAATAAAAAAATTGATAATTTTAAAAAATGGTACCAATAAAAGTTGTTCCTTTTTTAATTCTTAACAAGTTTTATTTGAAAAATATTTTGATACAAACTGATTGGGAAGATATCATTCTTCTTTTATCCGGATTAACACCTTTTGTAACTTACAATTTTACGATTTTAAATGAAAATGAAGGAATTATTTTAGAACAAACTATAGATATGTTTCCAAAAAGTAATTATTTATTTCTAATTATTCTTTTTCTTTATAAATCGTCATAAATTCGTTTAAAAATTATTAATTTCGTCCATAGTAGGGTTGTGTTTAAAAATGTTTATCTCCCTAACGAAGTGAAATTTTCAAAATCGGATTTCACCACGATAAAATATACGATTATTTTAATATGAACCCAAAATATCGTAGCAATATTCCAAGAAATTGATTTTTTATGAATTTTTTAAAAAAATAATCCACAAATTTCGTTTAATCCAAAAAAATTAATAACTTAAAAACAAAATGTTTTTTAAAAACGAATTTCACCACCAAAAAGGCGCCCGTTTTCTCTACAAATCGTCATAAATTCAAAACGATTGCATTAAAATCGATTTTTTTTAAATGTTTAAAAATTATTAATTTCGTCCAAATTAGGGTTGTGTTTAAAAATGTTTATCTCCCTAACGAAATGAGATTTTCAAAATCCGATTTCACCACGATAAAATAGACTATTATTTTAATATGAACCCAAAATATCGTAGTAATATTCCAAGAAATTGATTTTTTATGAATTTTTAATAAAAAATAATCCAAAAAAAATTAATAACTTAAAAGTTAAAAATGATTTTTAAGAAATGGCGCTAAGAAAAGTTGTTCCTTTTTTAATTCTTAACAAGTTTTATTTGAAAAATATTTTGATACAAATAATAATTGGGAAATGAGTCTTAATTAAGCTTAGGTATGATTAATCGGAACATTTTTCGACATGGAAAAAAACAAAATTCCTTTTTCATTTCTAATAGTGGCCAACGTGAAATTCTTCGGCCTTATCAATCTTCCTTCCTTTTCCCCGTGCCGAGTTCTTTATTTAAAATTAATCAGCTATAGTTCAAATAGTTTTTGATTTACGAAATTGTTCTTAGTAACCACTTTTTTTAAAAAGGTGATTAATAATTTCCTTTTTGGAGAGTATATAAGCGGGCGAAATTAATAAAATTTGGTTTAGTTTGTCTTAAACCTCCTAGCTTTGCTTGCTCCAGCTGTTATTGTTATTATCAACAAGTTCTAAGAAAATGAGTTTGAAAATTCAATGGTAAGTTCTTTATTGTTTGTTAATTATTATATTTTTTTTTAATATGGATGTTAGGATTTTATTGTCGCTCTTGATTCATCTTAAATTCGGGAATTCGAATTTACCAAGTTTGGAATTATTGGAAAATCGACCAGCCAACCTCTTATACTGTCTTTTAAAAGACGAAACCCAGACAACCGGGACGGCGATTGTCTGGGAAACAAATCAAACAGACGTGGTGAAAATATCAAGATATAAACCGAATCTGTTTTATTGTTCCGTTGGTAAAGATAATGATTGCACGAGACGATTATTGCGCGATTTTTGGACCCTCGATAACTCATTGAATTATGACTTCGATACGATTTTAGATCGGAGATGGGAAAGTTAGATTTTTTTTATATGGATATAAAATATTTTTTAAAAAAATTCTTTTTAGGTTTTGAAGCTATCAAAACAACACCTATATATTATCAACTCGTAGATATTCCTAACATATATATTAAGTTACAAATTAAAATTTCTCTTAAAACTAACACCAACGGTTTCGTTTATCTCTGCGATGGGAATTTTCCGCCCGATAGCAATTGTTACTGGATAACTTTAGCTGGTTATAACCACAAAGAGATTAGTGTAAGGAGGTGCGAACAAGGCACGATTCCCCAATATCAAGGGGTTAATCCCCGGGGAAAATGTAGGGATAAAAAAGAGATTCAATCTTTTCATCGCGAAAAAATCGAAGATGGTTGGAATTCTTACTTAATAACAGTATTAAATTCTATGATTAACATCCAAAGTGACAAGAACAATATAATACATTACAAGGATACCGATGATGTAATTTTAACCCGTTATGTTTTCATAGCAAGTTTAACAAATTCGCCCGCTGAATGGAAAATAAATCAAAACTCGAACATTCACCGCACGGGAGAGGCCCAATTAATTCATAAATTTCCAAAAAATGATTTTAATAAGTCATCAATTACTTTCTCGGTTAAAAAAGGCTCCCCAACTGACACCTTTTTCGTTCTAATTTGCGAAGATAACACCGTTTTCGCCGGATTATGTTACAAAATTATTTTCAACGATAACGTTGAAATTTGCAAAATTTCCCTAGACGGTTGTATAAAGAATACTAGGAGTTTTTGGCCAGCTTTTAAAAAATCCGCGATTTGGTACCATTTAAAATTTTTAAGCGAAAACAACATTTTTACATTCTTAATAGATGATAAAGAAAAAATTGCCGAATTCAAAGACGATGATTTTACGGCGAATTACGTTTTCATTGGTAGCGAAAAAGTGGTTTTATGGAAAATACATTCATGTAAGAATTAATTAATTAAAAAAATTTTGTTTAATTTTTTTAATTTTGTCTTTTTAGACGATTTCATTTCGACGAATCAAACCGGCGAAATCAAATTTCCTATACAAGAAATTAACAAAAAGGGAAATGTTTGTTTGGCTATTTTCGTTAAGAAAACTCCCCAAGCGAATTTATCTCTATCGTTAAATAATGAGATTTCCCCGATTGTTAATTATACGGTTACGAAAGAAAACGTTTGGGAAGAAGTCTTTTTAAGAGCTAAAATCGGCGACGATGTTGGTTTATATTTAAATATATCCACCTCAACCGATGGACACAAAGTTTTTGTAAGCGATTTAAGAGATTGTAGCGACAACAATCGAATTTTAGAATTAAATACGACGAAAATGATGCTGAATAAGGTACCAGTTTGCGCTTCGATAAGATACCCGGAACTTAGCATTAAATCGAGGAGGGGAGTTACTAAAAAAGGAACGATTATTGTAAAAAGTAGCGAAGAAGTCGATTTGTTTTGGGTTTCAAACAGCGAAAATAAAAATTTTACTTTGGAGTATATTGTAAGTACTTATTATTATAATAATTTATATATAATTTATATAAATTAAATATAAATCGAATTTTTTTGTTTTAGCCCGTTAAATACGTCGATTGTAAGAAAAAAATTTACGAAAGCAACGTTACAATTAAATATGTTGTCCCAGATAATTTTGGAACTATATTGTTTTCTAACTTATCGGGATTAACACCTTTTGTAACTTACAATTTTACGATTTTACATGAAAATGAAGGAATTATTTTAGAACAAGCTATAGATATGTTCCCAAAAGGTAATTATTTATTAGTATTTAATAAAAAAATTAATATATAAATAATTAATATTTTTTTAGAAACACTTGAAGAAGAGGATTTGCCAATAATACAAACAAAACAAGATCATTTTAATTTAGAAATTTCATTATCATTATTTGACTGCAAAAAAATACAAGGGCAATTATTCTATATCTTAACAGTGGAAGGAAAAGATCCATGGAACGAAGACATCAAAACAAAAACAGTTACAAAAAGATTTTATCGGGGATCTATGAGCCACAGCTATAAAATATTGGGTTACTCAACATATAACGTTACCATATTATTTTCGAGGAATGAAAATTTCTTAAATAATCGCCTATATCACAACTTCTCAATTTTAACTGCTCCAACAGGTAACAAAATAATATTTCGATTTTTAAAATTAACAAAATTTTTTTAGCTCCACTTCCTATACCCAACATTACAATGTATTCAAAAACGGTTTCTTCGATTTCTCTTCGCTGGTCAAAACCGTATCCACCTACAGGACAATTAGAAAATTATTTTATACAATACTGGGTTGAAACGAGACGTCAAGAACTTCGAGTAGCAAAAATCGAGATCGATTCGAATTGCATTTTTTGGCCTGAACTTATTTGCGGCGAAATTAACAATTTAAAAGCAAACGAAAATTACACGATTTGTGTAAGTATTTAAAAAAATCTGAATTAATTTACTCCCAATATATTGTTTAGGTTGTTGGGAAAAATGTTAATTCGACGAATTTAAGTGAATGTACGAATCCTATTAACGTTGTAACCAAAGAAGATCGACCCGAAGCGCCTCTAAACTTTGAAATTATTTTGCACGATCTTGTTATGGTTGTTAATTTTGAACGCCCCGATAAATCTTATGGACGATTAATCTTTTGTATCATAACTATTGCGAAAAGGATTTTTATGTTTTCCATTGAAGGGGATGATATTAAATTCTTTTCGATGGCAATGAACGTTGAAGAATTTAGCGCAAAATACATAACCGTCGGTTTACAAGTCACCAATTTAGGAGGAGTTTCAAATCCTATATATAAAACAATAAAAACTCCACCGAAAACACCAATAATTAAAAGAAGCGGTAGTTTTGAATTTATTAATGACACTTTTATCGTTTTTAAATCATTAATTTTCAAAAATTTGGATGGATTTAGGTTGGTAATAATTTTGGGGGTTTTCTTTATTATTAATTTATTTTTTTGATTTTAGCGAAGCGTTCGTTTATCTTCCAAAACATGCTTACGAAGTGTTTAAATACAATTGTAGTGATTTAAACGACGAAAAAATTTACCATCACACTAAATTGTTGCATACAGAACTTAATAAGGAAGATCCAAAGTTAAGCGTTGCTTTAAAAGACGAATTAATACACGAGGAAATTACGCAAACGTTGGTCGTTGTCGTTAGGAATTCTTTTGACAGTGAAGTAAGATGTGTATCAAAACCATTTTTCTTAAAATTGGGGTATTCTAGTTTTGGTTGGGTTACAACTATAATCTTGATTATTTCTCTTGTTTTAATCACAATTATGTACACTGCTTACAAACTTCTTATTAAGAAATTACTTTTCAAATTAAATTTTAATACATCTTAAAATCATATTTATTGTAAATAAAATGTTTTAATAAATTAATTTATTTCGAAATAAGTTTTCTTTTTCTCTTTCCCATCAGGTTCTATTTATTATATATTTATTTAAAATGAATAAATAAACAAATAAAAGTTTCCACTTAGAGTAATTGACAAAAAGTTTTTATTGAAAACACAAAAAAAGGTTTTTTGGTGGAATGTTAAATAAATAACATTAGTATAAAGGAAAAAAATAAGTTGGGTTTGATTACAATTTTCATACAAACTCTGATTAATTAATATTAAATCCGTAGGAATTAATTTAAAAATAAATTAAAATATGTTGCGTTCACTAAGTGCGGTAACAATTTTCTTATTACTGTTTGATTATTGTTAAGTATATTATATAAAAAAAGATGGGATATAAAAAATGATTTCGGTATTATTTGAAAAATCGAAAAGAAATACTACTCTAAGCACTATGATCTCTGTTCTGGCATAGATATACAAATGTTTTGTACACTTCACACAAAAAATAATCATAACTTTCTGTCAATAATACGAATAATTTTTTTCTATAAAAATTATCACATGTAAAATACTTGGCCGATACCTTAAATGCGTCGGAATACTAATTTTTCGTTTTCACATTATTTGTACAAGTAGTTATTGAATTAATTAAGTGGCATAACAAAAACGTTTACTTTTTCGTCAATTTTTCTCTCAAAAATGAACTGAGCACAAGGTATCAGCTTACTTAGAATTTGTTAATAACTTAAGTTTAAATAAATAAATTAACGTTTGCTGAATTTCATTTTTAATCTTTCGTCGTAAATCTATAAACGAAAAAGACGATACACATCACACAAATGTAAATTGCAACAGGCCAACATAAGCCAAGACGGGGATCCGATTTTTATAATTAATTAATCTAGTTATCAACCAAGAAAATCTTAAAAAAAGGAATGAAACCTTTTTTATTACTTTTTTTTTGCAAATATTGGGTAATATACAAATGTTTATAATCGCGTGTTTAATAAAATAAAAAATATTGAGTGATAATTTATTTTTTTAAGTTGGAGAAAGAAAGTTTTTTTTTAAATAGTAGATAAGTAGATTTTATATCGCTCCAAAACTTTTTATTTTATTACACACTTTTTATATGTATATATTTATATATTTTAAAAGAATTGTTGATAGGAAAATATACTTGTAATATATGTATCCACATAATTACTTCAATTTTTTGCCTATCATTTATTAGTTAATCTTTTTTGATTGAGAATTAGTCATAAAACGGGAAGTATAAAGCGATTAAACGTTTACGACGTTAGAAGTGATGTAATTATGTGAATGTATTAATTGTTATTATTATTTTTTCTATGTAACATTTTTATACATTTTAATTTTCGTAACAACTCTTGCTATATAAAAAAATCTGTACACCTTAAAAATCTATCTGTACAAAGGGGCCTATATACACATATATCATCTTAATCAATTAATTATATATTGTTTTATTTTCACTTACGTCATAAATAGCTAAAAATACGTAACCTAAAAATAGTACTCTCATAGAACCTATATATATATATTTTCTCCAAAAAAAGTGTTTCTCACGAGATCTTTATTATTTATTTATTATGTTTATTCCAATAAATTGAAAACAATCATTTCTAGAACGAACTTATTATATATTACTATATAAATTAGCTGCATAAATAATCGTCGAGAAAAATTTAGAAAGAAAACATCTAAAAAGCAAACTCCTAAATTAATTAAATGAATTAATTCAACTGAATACTATACAAAGATGATAGAAATTGGTGTACAACTTTGCTTATAATATACTATATACATATTTATATTTAAAAAAGGAAATATAATCATTTTGAGGTTATTTGAATAAATTAGAACTGAATATTGAATAACTAAAACGTTATTAAAAAATTTTTTTAATAAACAACCTCAAAATTAATTTAAAACTTTCAATAAAACACCGTTAACTATTGTTTTTTCGGTGTCATATGTTTAAGAATATCACCGAGAACATCGATACTTTCGGGTTTCTTAATTTTTGGTGGTCGCGGTTTCTTCACATCATCAGTTTTCTTTATTACTTCACTGTCTGACTTTTTCACAACAACATCGTGATTATCAGTTTTTTGTACCTTCACCTCTTTAGACTCAACCTTCTTTATATTTTCAGGGGAACTTCCCGTCGAAGAAATTAACACATTTTTAACCGATTTATTTTGATCTGTATACGATCTATGATGATGATCTGACGACGATTTGTGCCTGTGTTTCTTTTTATCGTCGTCATGTCGATCTCGTTTCGAACTTTTATGTTTACTTGGCGTGTAATCTTTGTCGTAATGTCTGCTATGAGGATTTTCGGATTTATCACCTTTGTGGGGTCGCTTTAAATCTTCTTCTTTAGTTGAAGTATGTTTCGTGGTGTTTTGTTTCTCGCGGTGTTTTTCTTTTTCTTTTTCACGCTCCACTTTCACTTGATCTGATTTTGCTATGGGTCTATCCGCCATTCCCGGAATTAATGTACCATTTAATGATAAAAATTCGGGACCTGTGCCTGGTTTTACGGGCTCTCCATACATTTTTAATCTTATATGCCATGCTAAAAAATATTAGTAATATAGTAAAATATAGACATTAAATGTAGACAAAAACATATTTTTATTTAACTAACACTAGACTTTTGCTCTTAGAAGCGTAAATATCCAGAAAACTATGAAAATTAGCTAAGTATTGTACTTGGAGTACAATACTTGGAGTTGTACAGGGTGGGCAAATTTGGGTGTTATTATAGGCTATCTCAGAAACTATAAGAGATACGAAAAAAGTAGGTGCCATGTCCCGGTCTCTTTTTTCGAGACTAAGCCAATCCCGCAAACACCAAACCTCTATCTTCTTTTGTTTTTAAGTTATAGCCAAAAAGTCAAATTTTCGTGATTTTAAAAAATGCTCATATTTCGTTTATTTTTGAAATTAGAGAAATGGGGTTGATACGTTCTTAAGACACTTTTTTAAGTAGAATATACTGCCGTTGAAAAGTTTTAAATATACTTGATGATTTTTGAGATATAACACAAAGTTGTGTTTTTTTAAATACAAACTATACTTGATTATGATGTTAAAGAAAAGAGCATATTTTTAGCTTTCCAATGATGTATCGCATGTATGGTGTATTTGCAGAAAATAAGCGTTAATTTTCAATTCGAAAATAGTAAGCGCTAATGTTCAAAATTTTGATTATAGTAGGCGTGTCCGGACAGTAAATACTACCTAGTGGCTATAATATATGGTTTTGCACGAATATGACAGAATAAAGTTGGTTTTGTACCATTATTCAGGATAAGTTGGTTTTGTACCAACGAATAAAAACTTTGAATAGTTAATTTAAATTTCTCAGCATCTTATCCCTGACTTTGTTTACCAATAAAAAATGATTAGCATTTAAAGTTTGTTTATTAAAAATACAAGAAATGTATTAATTAATGAATAATTAAATATGGACAACTTCAGGAACTAAACAGTCATAAACTGTCATCTTCTTCTACTCAACTTACTGGTTGTAAGATTAGAACAGTTCGGTATCAATGAATGAAATCTTCGGTAGTATTTTCCCAGTTTTCCCCAAACATAAGATGTAGAAGTTTTTTGATATCAGCAATCTTTTCTTTTGAAATTGGGTGAGATAGAGGAAAATTAGGAATCATAAACTGGGAGCGGACTTTCCATTGAAACACCGTTTGAATGGGGATATGAAGACTTATGTATCATCTTCAAAGCGGACTCCAATATATTCTATATTTAATTTTATCGTTTTATTTAAAGATAATGCGGAACTTCTTAAACGGGAAACTCGTTTCGCAAAATTCATGAATGAAATGACAAGTAAACTCACGTTGCTATAGTAACTAAGTAGTATTTAGCGTTTTCCTCGCCTACTATAATTAAAAATTTGAATTTTAATCTTTAATATTTTAAAAATTGAAAAATAACGCTTATTTTCCGCAGAAACATCATGCGTGCGATACATCATTGGAAAGCTAAAAATATGCTCTTTTCAGTAATATCATAATAAAGTATAGTTTGTATTTAAAAAAATACAACTTTATGTTATATCTCAAAAATTATCAGCTATGTTAAAAATTTTTCAACGACAGTATATTCTACTCAAAAAAGTGTCTTAAGAATGCATTAACCCCATTTCTCTAATTTCAAAAATAAACGAAATATGAGCATTTTTTGAAATCACTAAAATTTGACTTTTTGGCTATAACTTAAAAACAAAAGAAGATAGAGATTTGGTCTTTACGGGATTGGATTAGTCTCGGAAAAAGAGACCGGGACATGGCACCTACTTTTTTTGTATCTCTTATAGTTTCTGAGATAGCCTATAATAACACCCAAATTTGCCCACCCTGTACAGCACTTGGAGATTACTTCTTATATCACGCAGATAACTTGGAGCGGCCGACGTCTTCGAAGTTGGGCGAGCTTATTTCTGTTGATATAAGAAATAAGCTCGCCCGCCTCCTAAGACGTCGGCCGTCCTAAGTATTGCTCGCGATACTTGGGTTGAGTTCAGTTGGTTTGGGTTGCATATAGGCGAAGATCATGCTCAGTCAGGAACAATATCTATGGCGGCCGACGTTTTCGAAGTCGACCGAGATTATTTTTTATATCAACAGAAATAATCTCGGGCGAACAGAACCCAACCCAAGTATTGCGAACAATACTTAGGGCGGCCAACGTCTTCGAAGTCGGCCGTCATAGGTATTGTTCGTGATAGAGCATGATCTTCGCCTATATGCAACCCAAACAAACTGAACTCAACCCAACCCAAGTATCGCGAACAATACTTAGGACGGCCGACGTCTTCGAAGTCGGCCGAGATTACTTTTTATAGCACGAAGATAACTTGGGGCGGCCCACGTCTTCGAAGTCGGCCGAGCTTATTTCTTATATCAACAGAAATAATCTCGGCCGACTTCGAAGACGTCAGCCGTCCTAAGTATTGTTCGCAATACTTGGGTTGGGTTGACTTCAGTTGGTTTGGGTTGCATATAGGCGAAGATCATGCCTGTCATGAACAATACCTATGGCGGCCGACGTCTTCGAAGTCGGCCGAGATTATTTTTTATATCAACAGAAATAATCTGGGCCGAACAGAACCCAACCCAAGCATCGCGAAGAATACTTAGGGCGGCCGGCGTCTTCGAAGTCGGCCGAGATTATTTCCTATATCATGAACAATATTTAGGGCGGCCGACGTCTTTATTTTTTATATCACGGTGCAGCCAGCTTGGGTTGTTGGTAAAGTACATGATTCGGAACGTTTTAAAAAAACTTTTAATATAAAAGTTGTAGCAAATCTTATTTTTAACAACATTGCTCTTTTCCACTTTTGCTCTCAGATGCATAGATATCGAGAAAAATGTGAAAATATTTCAAATCGGCGTTTTACATACATCACAAAAAAGTTAAACATTTAAAAATTACCTACCAACACTCGTCACTGCACTAACAGTCCTAAATTGATGAATTATCCGCCTTGGTAAAAAATAAATATCGTTATCATAAAGGTTTATTCTTGCATATCTCACTCCCTCGCGCCTCAACTGGTTTAATTTAGCATCTTCTATCCAAGATATACACTAAAAAATATTAAATTGAAATGAAATTAAAGAAAAAAATTAATTTTATGTAAATTACTTGAGATGTTGGAGGTTCATGTAAATCCAAATGTAACTTTTCTGATATAATCTCAAAATCTTTTGCGTCAAATGCAACGACATCTTTCGTAATTCGGTTAATTTTTCCTTCGTCGCGGCCTGCGTGGATGGCTTTTAGGAGTCCAACGGCGGCCGTTGTGCGGCGATCGAGCCCGTGGTCAACGTGATCGGCGTGAGCTCGCGTTCGGTCCTCGAAAAGATGTTCGCGCGCCTCCGATAATCGGGGAAGGTACTGGAGGTTCCGCAACTCGTTTATGCCGGTTCGTTTCCGTTTCGCCGGACTTCTACTATCAGCTGTTGGTACTAATTGTTCCCCTGGGCGACACCACAGTATTGGGCCGTCATTTGAATCTGTTGGGTGCATGTGAACACCGGATACTTGACCCCAAGGCATCGTCTAAAAAATTAATCAATTAATTGGTAATAAATTAACCTTAAAAAATATATTTACTTGTTGTAGAAACGGATTTTGTTCTAAAATAGATAAAACGTCCTGAAAATATCCCCCAACCTCTTCATGCGCTGTTCCAACAATACTAACTTGGTGTAATGGTCCAAATCGATAAGTACCGTTATCATAATTGCGAATAACGTTTTCATTGTATTGTCGGAATGTGGTCGTCTCTAAATCGGACGTTCTATTCAAAAATCCATGTTTCACAATAACAGCCGGATGTTCGGTAGCCATATAATCTAATAAATCGGGAATATGCGCCCCGGATCCGTGTACAATCGCCATAACATAAATAGCGCGATGATTTTCGTCTTCCGCAAAAGCTAATCGAAAGTACTCATCGACTAAATCTCGTAAGTTTTGGCCCGTTAAGTGTTTTATTTCATCATGATAGGCGTGAACAACTTTTGCGCCTCCGTTTGAATGCGTTTCTATATGGAAATACTTGGCATATTTTAAACGCAATTCAGATGGTGGATATGTATAATTCCCGGATAACATTAATCGCGGTCTTGGTTCAATAATCTTTCGATCGTGACGACGTTTTTCGTCGTCTCTTCCAGAAGCTTGTATGCCTATTGATGTATATTTATCATCTTTAGACGAGCGATATTTTGAAGAGTGATGTCGATGATGTCGATCACTTCTACTCGACTCTTTTCTATGACTATGACTTGAACTCGATTCCTTTTTATCTTTTTTATGACTGGATTCGTGTTTGTCATTGTGACTGTGACTATGACTGCGTTTTCGACTCGAATCTTTCGAGTAATCGCGTTTTTTATCATATCTGTCACTTGGTTTGTGATTATTTTTGTATTTATCATCATATTTTGATTTGTTCTCGTGTTTCTTGTGATTGTTCTCTTTGATGTCGCCGTTTAATTTGACTTCTTGGGGTTCTGTTTTTATCTGACATGGTGTTCCAATGAATTCTGCAATGTTTTCGTGCGAAATCATTTCCGTGGAACTTTTCGCTCTTGGAGTTTGGAAAGGTTTTGTCGATGTTATCTGTAAATCTAACGATTTAGCGCGAAATTTTCGCGTGAACCTTTGTATTTCATTATCTGTTTCCTCAACACCATCATTAGTAACACGATCTTTACAAACGCTGTCATTATTTTCTTTATCTGTATCAGACTCGGATTCAACTCCGTTTAATGTGTGTCCATTATTAAGCGGTTTGTAAGTTTTAATTTTATCCGAAGTATCACAATTAATTTTACTATTACAATTAAAACTCTTTTCATCGTGGTTTAATAGATTTGGCGGTTCAAAAGCGCGCTTTTTCTTTTCAATCGGGCAATCAACTGTCGTGTTTAACGCCCGCTTTTGGCCCTTCACTTTCACTTCTTCCAGCGTTTGTAAAATCCAACTTTCTTTATCAACTTGGCCGTTATTGTTATAATTATTCTCCTTTTCATAGCTTGTAGGCGAATCGCTAAGAATTTTTTCCGTCTTTGATTCAACGTCAATCGATTCGGATTCATGACCGACAGCTATGTTTTCTGGCGAATAATATACCTTTGGAAGTGATACACCAAAGTTTTGATTGTTTTCGGAGTCGTACATATTTGTACAAAAAGTTTCTGAAACAAAAATTCAATAACTAATAAGAAAGTTCGTCGAATTAATCTAATAGATTGAGGAAATAAAAAATCGCTTCGGTTGAGGCAACTCAAATCTAGTTAAGAGATGAGGCTGCGCCTCGCCGCAATTATGATGGAAATTTACGATTTTATCTGATACCGCCGAGGCGATGCAATTAATAGCATATCAACCCAAATCTATTTAACACATTATGCAGCGTTTTGACTGCAAGCGATCTCGGCTACACTCAGAAGCCAAGATTCTACGTGGAGTTTCTGAGGTTGAAAAAAATTTGTATTCAAAATTTATAAAATTTGGCATATCTCTATAATTTGATACAAGAAACTTTTTATCTTAATAAAATTTTATTGTACAATGTTCAGAAAGACCACTTTACCTGCAATGGATTACAAATTTCTTGCATTTTCGTTGGAATATGAATTAATTTCGGGGCATTATCGAATAAATTCCCCTGTGTAATGAGTTATGCATCCATTGCGTTCAGTATGCATGATAATTTCACCAACATCAATGTTGTTGGTTGAATATGTCGACTTTGAGGCAACTACATAATAATATAGCATAACTGTAGAGTCCAATCTCTTTAATCAGAAGGTTGTTGTATGATGTACACAGTGTGTTTGATATTAGCTGTCACAGCAAATATTTTGATGCTCTGAAGACTTTGGAGACTTCGAAGACGTCAGCCGCCTCAAATATTATTCGTGATGTAGAAAACAAGCTCGGCCGACTTCGAAGACGTCGGCCGCCCCAAGTAAAGTTGTGATATAGGAAATGAAGTCTTCGAAGTCGGCCGAGATTATGGCTTCCATAAATTTCAAGCAGGGTAGACTTGGTTTCACGCTCCGAATGCCGAGTGACACCATTAATAATTTTATGGAAGAAATAATCTCGGCCGACTTCGAAGACGTCGGCCACACTAACTGTTGTTCTTGATACTTAAGTTGGGTTGCAGGCGAAGATCATGCTCCATCCCGAACAATACTTATGGCGGCCGACGTCTTCGAAGTCGGCCGAGATTATTACCTATATCAACAGAAATAATCTCGGCCGACTTCGAAGACGTCGGCCGCCCTAAGTATTGTTTGCGATACTTGGGTTGGGTTCTGTTTGGCTGAGATTATTTCTCAACCCAACCCAACCTACGTTTTGTACTTGATACTTAGGTTGGGTTGCAGGCGAAGATCATGCTCCATCACGAACAATACTTATGGCGGCCGAACAAGTATTGTTCATGATATAAGAAATAATCTCGGCCGACTTCGAAGACGTCGGC